CGTTTGATTATCCATCCGGGTAATATCCAGGCGGATTCCCCATTTACCTAACTAAGTTCGATACTTGGTGAAGGTTACATTTATTTGTCCGCCTGGGTAATACTCGGATCTCTTGTTTATTTAAGTTTGATACTTTGTTTATTCAACTGCTTGACTATCCGCCTGGGTAATACTCAGACGGATTCTCCATTTATCTAACTAAGTTTGATACTTAGTATGATCAAATATTTGCCTGTCTGTGTGGATATTACCCAGACAGACTCGTATGCTTAAAAAACTAAGTTCGATACTTAGTGTAAATTCAACACTGATTAAGAAACTAAGCACAAAAACGTTTAGTGGCTACACAACCGGTCTCAAACAGGACCAGAGGCTAAAATGGCCGGATGGTTGCTATTTTTATAAAATCGCCTGTCCCAACATGGACAAAGGCGTCCGGCGACACTTCTCCGGGTGCAATCGTCGCAGAGAACAGATTATCTGTCGGTTCTACGTATCCATGCAGACGACAAAAATTGAACGACCAAATTGGTCAACTCATAGCCGTCTGACTAAAATAACCTACGAAGAACGAATAAGTTCCTAAATATTGGATGCCCATAGGCATCAGTCGGTCACCGGCTGAAGTTCTCACTTAGGTTATTTATTTTAAAATTGCACCTCACCCCAATTGGGGCAAGAGTTCAATGGCTATGAAATCTCTACCAAGACGGGCATGAGGCGTCTGTGTAGTGACCGAAACGCCTGTTGGTGTACGGTTGTGCACTTGGTTTGGGGCAATCACTATTGTGATTGATCGACTTGCTAACATATCATGCTCTTTATATCATCAGACGTTTTCAAGTCAATCAACCAACTCCACTTGAAACCAACCACACAGCCGTCCAGGGGCAAGGACAGCCGGACTACTGACTAGTTAGGCAAGAAATCACCACATGCTTTTGATAAGTTAGGCAGAAATTCAAATGCAAAATGATCAAAACCGACTTAGTCGGTGCAATTCATAAAAGTTCATCCAACCAAACGGTTGTAATGGGTCAAATGTTAACCGGAACCTGTCCGGGAGAAAGAAATTGTTAATTAACCCGGCTCCATAGCCGGTAAAAATACAAATACTCGGCACGCAGGCCGGAAAAAGCAAGTTTTGGCATACAGCCGCTGAATAAAAAGAAAATTAAAAAAGAAGACTGGCATACTGCCGCTGAGGGGTCACTTCTGGCCTGTAGACGGAGCCTCCTGGTTCTCCCCCTTCTCCTCATCATCTGAGGGAATTTGGTGCGCTTCGCCGGGACCAGGAAGCTCAGGCGCGGTTGGCTCATTGTTGCTGAGCCAGGCTTCAAAGGAGGCAGGCTCTGGCTCACCTTGCTCTCTCAAGTACACCACGTACTCGGCGTAGCTGTGTGCCATTGCCCAGATGCTATAATCAGCGTCTGGGTACAAGGCAGCCCAAGCAATCTTCATACGGGCGTCGTTGTCAGCATCACTCTCAGCAACAAGGCGGTTTTGCTCCGCCTCCAGGGTTACTGCAAAGTTTTTCAGAGCTTGAGCAGCATCCTTCTCCAGCCTCTCAACCTTGGATTTCAGTTTGCCAAGGTCCGCCTGGGTCTTCTTGAGCGCCTCTTCAGCCTGTTTGGCGCTCTCGTTTGCTTTCTTCTGGGCCTCCTCCGCCCCCTTTTTGGCCGTCGCAGCATCCGTTACCCGCTGGTCGGCCGCCTTCAGATCTAGCTCCAGCTGCTGGATTTTAGACGCCTGTGTCATAATTATTGCTTTAGTTTCAAGTTCATTTACGATAGTTGAGTGGAAAACAATATTATCAGCGTCTATGGCGGACTTCTTGGCTCTTTTTACCTCTTCCCGTTTGCGGGAATAAGGACGTTTGAGCCCGTCCACCCGCAGCATGGCCTACAAAAAGCAGGCGGTATAAGAATTACAGACGGGATAATTACTTGGAAAAAATAACATTGAATTGACAAGTTTCTTACCTCAGCCAGAAGGGATAGAATGCGTTCAAGATTGAACGTCTCTATCCCAGGGATATTGTCCTTATCCCTCTTCCGCACGGCATCCAGCATGGCCTTGGCGTGCTTCTGGACGTCTGGCCAGCGGGGAGATTGATCTGCACCACAATCAATACGTGATGAGTGCGAAACTAAGGCAGCACCTATCTGTTGCCGACCGTTTGAGGATGACGTCTGTTGGGAGTGGGATTTCACCCGTAAAGGCCACCCCAGCTCAAGCGGGGATTCAAAAGGGTTCTTACCTTCAGAGCCGGCCAAGCGGGAAACGCTTGCAGGTGTGGTGAACCCCGCGGCTGCTGAGGGGTTGGCAAGATCAAGGCACAGGCTGCCGCCTACCTTCTCGAGTCGCCCCGCTATCCGCATCCTCTTAGCCCCGGCTGAGGCGCCATGAGTTGACGCAGAGGCAGACTTTTTTATTTTATTGAGAACGGCTGGGGCCTCCTCTCTAGCCCGTTTGAGATTCTTCTCAAACGATTTCCCAACTTCTCCCCCCTGTGAAAATAAACAAGTAAAGGTTAGTATCCGGGCAAGACAGTTTATAAAATAAACTTAAGAAAGGGTCAGGCGCTCAATACCTTGGCCCTGAGCTCGGCCGCAGCTTTCTCCGCAACATCTTTGCGGATGGTCGCAGAAGACTGCTTGGGAGTTTTCTCCGACTGCAACATGTTTAGCGCTTCTTCTGCAAAAAGAGAAATTGATCAGAATCATAAATCAATTCCGATAGAAAAATACTACAGACGGTGTGAACCCAGGCGCATACGTTTATCAAACATGTGCCCTAGCCCGCAGGCGGCTAGGAAACATTCATCCCTGAACCAGGCGCTCTTGGGAATCCAATTCTTAGGGACTTTTATTGTTTCCCTGGTTGACAGAGTTGCGTCTGTGAGGCCGAAAAAGTCTGCCTCGATTATTTTGTCAAAGTCTTCCTCTGGGACCCGGGGAAGAGCGCACTTCCTGCCCAACAAGTTGGGCTTCTTATTGTACAGACAGAATTCATAATTTTCCCGTCTGGTTGGGGCTGACATCAGGTAGAACCTGTGCTTCCAGCCATCGAACTTGGAGACCTTGTCCAAGGTCATCATGTATTGCAGCTGTGTGGTTAGAGTATAGCACGCCCTCCAGCCGCCTGGGCTTCTGCTGAGGTAATGCATGCTTGCAAAGGCCTCCCAGCCGGGGTTAAGCCCTTAGAACTCGCAGGCGGCAACATACCCCAGAATGTTGGTCCAGGAGTTGGGGGTAAGTTGCCAGACCCCAAGGTCGTAGCCTCTCAAAATTGCCTTCACCGCCTGGTGAAGGGGGAAGCGAAGGCCGGCTTTGAACGCCGCCTCATAACAGCCAAAATAGCTGTTGGCGTTCTCTTGATCATCCCCCCAAGCGATGGTTCCCAGCTCATGCGGCACCCGGATCTTATACCCGTCTCCAAGCGGGTGCATTTTCTTAAAGTTCTCTAAGTTCTCCCGCATCTGGATTCGGTCCTTGGAGGAGACGTGGATGCTGAAGGGATCGTCCTTCTCACCACTTTTTCCTTTCTTCCTCCTCGCTATCCGGAAGAGGGGGCAAGTCATCGCTGCTCTCGGAGGTAGAGGCGGAGCTGTCGCTCTCCGTCTCCCCCTCGCTTTGGTCCATGGGGGCAGAGGCGGCCTCATCGCCGCCTTGGTCACACTGTTCCAAGAAAGAGTCAGCAGGGGTTGAAGGGGCGCGCGGAGGGGATCTCTCCAGAGCCGTCTGGTCTCCCTGACCAGACGATTCTCCCTCAGGCGTTTGGCGGCCTGAGCCTTCGCTTCTATAATTTGGATCAGTGGCCGTTTGCATTGTCCGAGCCATGGTGTCCTGCACAGACACATAACTGGTCGGAATCCATGGCAAAGGGTGGTCCCAACACCCCAAGCCGGCACTCCCAGTCCTAGACTCAGCCGACCCTAGTGACCGGCTGGACTCTAACCTAGGCTGTGCCGTGTGTGTTGGTGATGCATCCATTTATTGCAAGAAATATGTACAAGCGGTGAAAAAAGAAAAGAGCTGAGAGAGACAGAGACGGTACCTTTTGATTTGGTATCTGAACGTAGACGGGACCGGCTGTATTGCTGAAGAACAAACTTTCCTGCTCGCGTCTGACTCAAACAAGTGACTTCTGCTCTCTCAAAGTTTTTCTCTCTAAGAAATTTTTGTAAACGTACAAAATTGTGAGGGTAAAACAGCTATATATAAAAGGTTAAATTTGGGGGCATTTCCGTAATTTACCCGGAAGGTGAACGGTTACTCTGTAACGGTAAAATTACCGCCAACCGGAGCGTGACATGTGTAACAGATGCCACGTGGCGTGCCACGTCACATCTGTGAGGGGCAAATGTTTAGGGTAATTTTACCCTGCCACGTGGCCCAATCAGAGGGTGACACGTGTCAGCCCCAGATTGGTTCAAACTGGACCAATCCCTGCTCGACACTTGTCCTTCCAGAAACCAAGGGAAAAGGCGGCCTTCAGGCCCAAATCCCGAGAATGCCGCCAAACGGCGCAGCCCACCAATGATTAGGGTTCAGTAACCTAATCAGGGGCACAATTCCCAAAGACCCTATAAATAGGGAGATGTCCCTCATTTTGAGGACACGTTTTATCAATTTTATTACACAATTACTCTTTGATAGAGACATCCTGAGCTTGGAATCCGAGCAGATCCCTACCTAAATTTCCGCACCTTTTTTATCCCTTCAAGTTTCTAACTTGTGCGTCCACCACCCAACTGGTGTCTCCGTTTGTTTTGCAGGTACAACTCACTCCGGATCAGTCTTCGTGTTGTAACTCTCCCGAGGGACAAAAATACCCAAAACAGTATCTGTCTTGGAATATGTTTCTCCATGGTAAAACAAAGAAAAAGAAAAAAACTAAGAATATACAAAGTACTACTATTAATATGATTTTTATTGAAAAAAATTCAGAAATTATCCATAATTAATTTAAGGGTAGTTGAAAATTAAAGAAGTAATCTTGGAGAATAAGAAAACAAAGCACGGTAGACTTTCTGAGTAGTTGTGTGTTGGAACTTGGTACTGGTACTTGGAAAGTTGGAAGGAAGGAAGGGTCTTTGTTTTGTTTTGTTATTTTAAAAAAAGCAAAAGAAAAAAGGTTGAGTTTTAGAGGGTGAGTGGGAAGCTCAGAAAAGAAAGTGTACGACAAGAATTAACAAGGTGAAAACCAAAGGTTTGCCAATATTTATACTCGTACTAGGATTAACTTTGTAAACTTGAATTCTTAGTAATTATTTTATTCAGGTTTTGAGATTTGGTAAAATTGACAACAGATTCAATTGGTTTCAATAACAACAACAACAACCAGAAGAAGATGAAGATCACAGTAATGACCGCCGATGAGAAATTCATCTCCTTAGATGTCGACCCCGACGAAGCTGTAGTTTTCTCTTAAACCCTAATTTCTGAATTCAATTTCAATTTTTTGGTGACTAATGGATCTTGATCGAATTTCGCAGGTCGAAAATGTCAAGGCTTTGCTTGAAGTCGAGGTACAATAACAACCACCAATCTATCTATCTCTGTTTATTTTAATCTGATTAAATTGAATTGTTTGTTTTTGATTGATTTGGGGGAGCAGAGTGGGGTGGTGTTGCAGCAGCAACAATTGATGTACAATGGCAGGGAGATGAATAACCATGACAAACTCAGTGTACTCGGTGTTTGCGATGGCGATTTGATCATGATGCTTTCTAATGCTGCTCCTCCTTCTCGGTACTTTCTTTATATCACTGCTCCTTTTACAACTACATTATTTGAATTAGGACTACAAACTCTACTCTAATCTTATCATGGAGTTTTCACTCTTATAATTTGTGGATAACAAATTCGGCTTTAGTTTTAAGCAATGTTTGATTCATCACAAATATGTTTAACTTATACTTGTCCTTTGCTCCTGTAGTCCATCTTCAAGTGACCTTGCCCTCAGTCCTGATGGTTCTGCTGTCAATCCTGCTGCTTTTCAGCAGCAAGTTCGTGGAGATTCTAATCTGATGGCTCAATTGTATCAGGTATTCATGTCTTCATATCATCTTCTTTCATTAGATAGCAATTGCTACACAACTAGCGGACCAAAAAATATTTAACTTTTGATTGCTCTCTTATCACTGTGTTAAGTTGTGGAATTGGAACTATTATTCTCGTTTTTAATACTTTGTCCTTGTAAACCTTTATTGAGAAAAATTAGTGATTTAGGCTGCTCAATTAAATGTAAATTAATTGTTGTATTCTTCTTGTTGATTGCCATAGAAGCATTATTGTATTGAGAGTTGATTTCTTAGCATGAAGAACATAAAGAGCAAGTTCACGCATGAAAACCAACTCCCAATACATATCTATATTATACTTGCGTAAGTTTCTTCCTTTTTTATTTTTTATTTTTTGATCTTTGTGTGCTCTAAAACTTGCAGAGTGATCCTGAACTTGCTCAAGCCATATCTGGGAATGATCTAAATAGACTACAGGAGATTTTGCGGCAACGCCATCATCAAAAGACAGCATTGAGGCAAAAAGAAGAGGAGGAACTTGTAAGTAGACTCTTTGTAGCTAGCTTCAACTATAATGTCAATTCATGTGATTTCTAATGAACTTTATTCAGTGGTACTAAGGAGATGTTTGGTTTGTAGATTTTAGGTATGAGTAAAATAATCATATCCGAACAACAATCAAACGCAAGGCGTTTTAATCAAATTCCAAGCTCATAATACCCTGGTTTCTTTCTTATTTCCAAACCCGTGCCACTTTGTGAACCACACACCTCGTAGTAGAGCTCAATTGAATAGCTATTCCTCCACAACTACTTGTCATTGTACTTTGCCACGTTGTGTTCGCTTAGATAATGTCTGATTTATAAGTTGTGCAGGCACAATATATAAGTGTAGGATATTTTCAGTTAGACTGTACCTATTCAATGAAATGGTGTTTATTACTACTGCCTTGATGGCTCCATTCCCTAATGTAAGGCACCTTGCGCTGTTAGTAATGCAATTTTAGATTTACATTTGACTACTAGTTTGTCATTATCTACAAAACAACATCAAATCCATAATCCCAATAAAATCAGGTCGGCTCCCTGAACCAAAGATAATATCTCCACTGGATGTTAACAAGAATCCTCTTCCTCCTTTCACTTCTATCTAGTGTGCAATCCTATATCTCCACATCATTCTCTAATCCTTTGAGTCCTCTCATCTTAACCATCTTTGGCCTCACTAAAATATTTTTAAATCCCCATAATCTCAATTCTGCACTTATCTTCTGGTGGATGTCGTTGACATCTTACATGCCCTAAGGTGCTCTTGTATCTAATCCTCAATGCTTGCAACTCCAACCTTCCTCCATATTTCTTTATTCCCTATTTGTTAAGATGCTTCTACACATCTATCCAATTTGATCCTTCCTATATGCCCAATTTTCTGACTTGTACAACAATGCTGGTCATATCGAGTAATGTTTTTCTTTCGACACCTATAAATAAGCTTTCTATATAGGTCAATGAAATCCATTGTAGAATTTGAATCTGTCATTAACTTTTTTGTAATAAAATGTACAATTTGGATTCATATTGGAGTAAGGGGTAATCTCATGCTATTTTGTTTTTATAACTTTTAATATATTATGAGAGAATTTTATTGTCAAAGCTCAAATTTGCTAAGCAAAGTGCCTAAGAGTAAAAAAATTTGTGAAAGAATTTATTTGCACGAACTTTTGCTAATTACGTTTTCCCTTTTTCTGTGTTCGTAGAGTTTTAGCCAATTTGTCAGTAGACCTAAGTTTAGTAATGTTTTCTTTGGATCTTTTGGTGTATCACTCATCTTGTAAGGGTGATGCATGATACATTCTACATTACTCAGCTTCAGGATATGGTGTCTGGTAGATGTCTGAGGGTCAGACTAGGGTTTCTAATGAAATTTCTATGTTTTTGGGCCAAGAATGAAGTGTAAATTATACACATGTCTGAGGGTCAGTTATTCAAATTAGGTGCTCTAGGTAAAATAAAGAGTCCAAGTAACATAGCTTACACTTATGCATTTTAGTCACCTACTCTCAGTTCCTGGTTACCTCTGTAAAATTTAACTAGCTATTGATGCTGAGTATGCTGGTTACCTCAGTCATGATACATGTAGAGTATCATGTATCATGACTGAGGTCAAGTGATGGGTAATTCCTTGCTGCATTAAATTTTTATTGTTTACTGTATTGATGTTGCTTAAGAGCAAAAATCCGAAGTATGGTAGTGAATTACATAGGATAGCAGAATCTAGAAATTCTGTAATGAGCATTATGGTTGGAGTGAAATATTTCATCATTTATAGCTGTAATCTTGTTAGGTTATTGTGTTTGGACATTGATCAACATCTTGTTGTTTTGATAGGCTTTGCATTATGCAGACCCTTTCGATGTGGATGCACAGAGGAAGATTGAAGCTTCCATTCGCCAGGTAAGACATTTAGTATCTTCTTGTGGAGTATTTGAACTTTTCTAACTCTATCTAGCATAATTTGTTTATAAAGGCTTTTATGGATTCTCGTTGTGACTTTCTGCAATTTTGCTGCTTTCTCTCTTAGAAAGGAATTGACGAAAACTGGGCAGCAGCCATTGAACACAACCCTGAAGCTTTTGCTAGAGTGGTACGTTTATATATATTTTATTTCTCTTAAGATTCTATCTGGATATAATTAATTTCTTCATAGATACTCAAAAATCCTTGTCTAATTTTACAGGTTATGTTGTACGTGGATATGGAAGTAAATGGTGTCCCAATAAAGGTACTTGCTAGTTACTACATGGTGTTTAGTAAGGTTTGGGTTTGGGGGGGATGTGTAATGAGTTTTGCTCATAAAATTTAAAGCTGATTCAAAGAGAATAGGGGAAAAAAAAAAATCCCAAAACTATCAGTTTGATTCAGGTCCTGTTTTATCACTGCCTTTTGTTTTAAAACTTTTGCTATTAACCTATATTGTGCAAGTTTATGCTGATTCTGTTCACCACCCTACCATAGCTGTGATTTTTAATGTGTGAAAGAGGCTAGAATTATCATATAAAATTGAAAAAGACCTATATTTTTGAAGGGTTCCTGTTTATCTATCAGATAGTTTCTCTCTTATCTCTGTGCTCTTTGGAGTATCTTTTGGTGTTCTTAACCTGACTACAAAATGTTCACAAGCAATTATTGATTCTGTCTCAGGCATTTGTTGATAGTGGAGCCCAATCAACTATAATATCTAAACGTTGTGCAGAGCGTTGTGGGTAAGTTTCTTCTACGGTTGTATTAACTCCTGCTGGAACATGGTCGTGCTATGTTTCTAGTGTTAGCAATACTCCTCTACCAATATATTTCTAGTTAATATAAAAAACCTTTTTGAGGTATGTATCAACAAGCACCAAGCACAAGTACCATACTGTAGAACGTATCTAACCCAAGTGCTTCTGTTGGGATGCCTATGGCTGTTTTGATTGCATGTAGGGCTTGTTGCTATAAAAGCATTCTTGTTAGGTTAATTTTATTGTGTTTGCATTGTCTTCAATTATTCATGATCAACATTATAATTATTCTCATCCCAAGGGTCTTGTCATTAAGTGTATTATGCATAATGTGTGGTGATAGGGAATGCGAATTCCTTGTAATGAGATTTTAAGACTCTCCAGACTTATGTTCGTTCTGTACCTTTATCTCACTCCAGACTGTTGAGGCTGTTGGATGAACGATACAAAGGTATTGCTCGCGGAGTTGGTCAGATGGAGATACTAGGTCGGATACATGTAGCTCACATCAAGGTAGTGGAAGAAAAACTTTCTATTTGAGGATTCCCTCATTGTTCTTATTATTTGTGTGTTGGTGGCCGTGGTGCACATCTGTGCATACCCTATGCTTGTTATGTGAATCCGTATTTAGCTTTGTAGAAAAAATTGTGGAGGTGGTGGGTATCTTGCTTATGAAATGTGTGCATGGAAGTTGTTCCCACACGACCCTCCATAACCATTATTCTAAAATTTAACTAATTATGTCGGCTATTAAACATTTGACATGAACTGCAGTTATCATCTGCTTTTGTAAGTTTTATTCTGTATATTTACGTTGGTTGCTTAATTTAATTTCATTGTTTATTTCCATTCCCTGTGGTCTTTGGAAGATTGGGAAGGTGTTTTACCCTTGTTCATTTACAGTCCTTGACTCAGACAACATGGAATTTCTCTTTGGTTTGGATATGCTTCGTAAACATCAGGTAATTTTCTTTGGTGTGTTTTATTTTCGATGTTTCTTCTCCTTAAGCTGAATAAATCTGACTAGGCTTTCTTTGCAGTGCATAATTGATTTGAAGGAGAATGCATTAAAAGTTGGTGGAGGAGAGGTTTCCGTGCCATTTTTACCTGGTTAGAATTTTTGGTTCAATTTACATAAAAAGTTTAGTTAGATGATATGTGGTTTTTTTATTTTCATTTTTCTTTGATCTCTCATACTATTTTCAGAAAAGGATATTCCTTCTCATTTTCTGGATGAAGAGAGCTTTGCCAAGCAGGCTTCTAGTTCAGGGGCTCCGGTAATGATTCTCTCTTTGTATTCTATTTGCTTCTAGTATTGTTTGTGTCAATTTTATTGACTACTTTGGGATCTTGTAGGTTTCTTCAGGAAGCAAAGACACTAGAGATATTCCAAGCGCTCCAATCGGAAGTCAATCTTCCGGTAAGTTATTCTAGTTAGCTGTATAATCTGTGTCTATGTTATTATCGTATTATATTAAAAGGCTTTCTCTTTCATGTCTACCCCCTGCACAATTCTCTACTACTACCAAAGGGCCACCTTTTGCCACGTGATATGCACACATATTCGTATAAAAATAAGACAAATGGGAGCCTTGCCTACGAATACTCGAATCCCCAACTTCTGGCACATCAACATCTACGATCCAACCAATTTAGAAATTGATGACATTTTAAATCATCTACAGACAAAACGTTTTTGTGAAAGAAGGAAAAAAAAGGTATAAGAAACAAGAAATAAGTTAATCACAATTTAAATACTTAATAAGGTGACCTTTTTATCCTTTCCTATCACTATAAGAAACAAGATAGTATCTGTAAGACTTGCAACTTATATATTGAGTTATCTGTAAGTTAGAACTTGGGAGAGGAACCTTTTGGTGGTAGATGTATTTCTTAGAACACATCAAATTGAAAGCCTTTCTGCAGATCTATATCGGAATATATTTAATTTCAAGTCTTGAGCAAATTTGAAATATATTTTATGAACTTTAAATGCAAGAGCAAGTCTTTAGAGTCAAACACACACATCAGTATTTAAAATTGATAGCAATCAGATATACAATGAGTATGCTGTCGTGCAGCTTATCTTTGTTTTTTTTGGTGGCTTCAGTTAGCTATGTGCACAATTATCTCTTCTTCGAGCTGGGGTCTTTGAAACAATATATAACTTGTATCTAATTACTTTAACTAGCTGTGCCGATATTACGATGTTTACATACACAATTTCTCTCTCTCTCTCTCTCTCTCTCTCTCTCTCTCTCTCTCTCTCTCTCTCTCTCTCTCTCTCCATTTGTCTTGCTTACAAGTATCTATTAATGTCCATTAATTTATATATAAATTTCTTCTCAGGAGCTGCTGGTGGGAATCCTGCTCAGGTATGTGCAGAAACCTTTCTACCCTACCATCTAGTTATTGAAGTTTCACATGATCGAAAACCATAGGTCCTTAGCTGCTGCTAAAGTGTTGTGAGCTTCTAATGACTATAGTGCTATTCATCAAACATTTAGTCCTCTTTTCTGGTTTTTTGAGGCCCAAGGCCATTACCGCAGGTGTACATGTTTGGGGCCTGGGGTTTGTTCTACATGGTGTGAATACATAGCAAGAACCCCATCGTTTCACCTCTACATGTCTTAAGCATGAGTGTAAATGTGTAATCTCATTTTAGGCTAACTTGATTGTTAAATCTTGTTGAAATGCTTATCAAAAAGCCTGTTTGTGACCACATATCACCCAAATTCATCTTTTTCTTCTATTTGTACACTATCTTCTACAGTAAGCTATATTGCTATGTTGATTGAGTCTAAGTCTGCTATGATGCTTGAACATGTCATGTTACAATTTATCCATTTAGGATAGTTAGTAGTCCTCAGTACACTTTAGTATGTCAACATGAACTGCATTTAAAGAATCAGTGACATGGTAGTTTAATTCTTAGATAAGTATTCAAAACAGTCTCACTTGGAATATTAAAGTATCCATTAAATCTCTCTCTCTCTCTCTCTCTCTCTCTCTCTTTCCAAAATAGTATTCTGACTCTTGGACAAGTATGTGAGGGTATTGAAAGCTGAATCTGAGTGATTTATGTCTCTGCTGCAGGGTCCTGATTTCGAAGCCAAAGTCGCAAAGCTTGTTGAGCTAGGATTTCCAAGGAATGATGTTATACAAGCTCTCCAGCTTTTCAATGGCAATGAAGAGCAAGCAGCCGGATTTCTTTTTGGAGGCTGAGAAGAATTTAATTCTTAAATCAATACAAAATTGTGGTATCTAAGACAATAGAAAATATACTCTTGGTATTATTGTTCAAAACATTTTGCAAATCAATTGAGTACGATTCATATTTTGTATAATTTATAATAGTTTTGTTTTATCATTAAACGATAACCGTCTTGTAATGGGTGGGGGATGAAGAAAAACAAAATGATGAAATGAAACATATATCCAAGCATTTTGCCCATTTTATGGATATGACAGTATATGCCCTATTAGTTGCCATATTACCAAAGTTATTTCTAACAGAAGATACTCTCACTGGCCAAATCAATACGCTTACAATCTTGACTCTTCAAAGTACTATTATATACAGTAGCTGTTAACATATGTTTACATTCATACCAAACACAAAGAAATCAGTACTCGAATTGGGTTTAATATGATTGATTCAAGATCAGACATCATGTTGTATGTACATCAACACATGAAACAATAACTTAATTAGCCCTCCTGGTCCATCAGGCATTACCAAAGAATCAGAAACCTTTCCAGGTAGCAAGAATTTCTTGGAAGATTTCGGCAATCAGTTCCCTATCAGCACATTGAAGGAACACATTGAATTCATCGCGAAGATCATATATCTTTCCAAACTGGACCAAATACCTCATACAGCTGCTTTTAAGCTCAGGCAGCTGGTATAGGGATGCATTTTGGAGTCTTTCTAGTACATTCTTGGCGTCAATGTCCTCAACGAGGCTGACATGACACGCTTCTTTGAGATCTGCAATGTCATACTTGTCAGCTGCACGGAGGAGGGAGAGGCGGTGATGCAGAAAATCCTTGTGCTCTATGCAGCCGTACAGGTAACTGAGTAAGGCTCGGCATGAATCAACTGTCATGTCTGATATGTTTATGGTGGAAAATTCCTTCTCCTGGAGGTTGTGAGAGAACATGCTTTGAAACACCGGGGAGCGTGCAGCTAAAACTGCCCTGTGGGCTCCAACACACCCATCGGACGTGTTGATCGTGATGTCTGTGTAGATGCCCTCTGTCAGCATCCGTCTGAGGCCGCAGAGAGCTGAGCTGTTAGACCTCCTGCTGCTTGAACCTTCTGCCCAGATGGAACAAGGCTGCCCACCCTGCAATTTCATTTTTCACCTCAACAAACAAAAATCTCTATGTAATTGTACTATCTACAGCACATGATACAGTCTAGAGGCAGTTTTATATGAGACATACTGTTACTGATTAATTGAAATGCTTACTTTTGGAGACGAAGTCTTTAAGTCCAGAAATTCAACATCAATGATGAATTTCCCAGTAAGTGGAACGTCGATAGGCCAAACAAAATCGTCGTTGCTTTTGAGCTGCTGGTCTGTTATACCTGCACTGACAAGATGGATCTTGTTATAAATGGAAAGAATCAAATGATGATAAAAAAAAAAGATTGAAATGTGCACGAATAAGTAACAAACATACCAGGGTGAACGAGGGGCTTGCGATCACCAACAGAAGACAAGACGCGGATAGAAAAAGACGCGATGGGAGGATTATCTCTGGTGAGATTGGAAACCTCAGGATACAACTTTAACATCAACACTTTATTCTTCTCTAAAGCCAAGTGCCAATTCCAAAGACCAATCTTAAAAGGATCAGACCGACGGTAAGTGCAGGAGGAGAGGTTTTCGATACGCCATTGAGCGAGGCGACAGGTGGTATGAACACGGTAAGCAGAATCCTTCATCCTCCACCCAGCTGAAGAAGAAGCAATGACAGCAGTGATGTCATGGATGCAATCAAATATACCATCAAACAACTCTCCACCTCCTGCCTTTCCCAGCTTTTCTATCTCTTCTTCGTCCGCCACAACTGCAGCTTCTTAATGCATGCTCAATCTCTTTCTAACTCACATAACACTACTCTTTACTCCATCTATCTTCTCTGTTATAGATTCTTTATTTATTCACAAACAAAGAAAGAAAGATTCCCTGATTAATATTATTCATTCATTAAGGTTATTGTTGGACCCATAATATTAATCCCCACTTGGATTGTGCTTTCGGGCACGCAATCATTCATTTTGAGATACCATTTTCGTTTTTTGCTTTACGTCACTCTTCTTTCAACCCTTTGCTTCCAGGCAATAGCCTTCCTGAACCAACCCCTCTGTTTTTCAGACATACTCATACAGTATGCCTTGTAGCTACTTTTATCTATCTTTTTTTCTAGGGGTACTATGGTCGTTTTACAACTTTATTATTGACTAGATATTTTTTCCTAACTCAACTTAATTATTTGTCTTGAACATCATTAAGAGGTCGTTCCATTCTAGAGACATACAGAGTACTATATAAAATGGGATAAGAGTGCAAATTTACACCCGAGTGTAGACATTAGATATTAAATGGGTATCAGTTATATTTAAATGAGATTTGTACTCAACTTTTGCAGTAGTAAGCCTCAAGTTGTAGTTAAAGGAAGGTAAAGAATTTTGCTTTTTTTGGTTTAGGCCTTTGGTGGCTTAGAAGCAAAGTATCATACAATTAACTTTATCAGTCTTCGTTCTTGAAATCCAAAACCTCATTTCCATCACATATCCAATAATAATAATGAAACTAATTAAACGAACTAATAGTAGAATTACATACATTAATACTCTATCCATATTGATTAAAGTAGTAAAGATTGAGGTTGTAAACATCAATGGTTTGATAGATGAATGTAAGGTAAGGTTGCATCAAAATGGCTTGTGAAGAAGGGTTTAACAAAAGCAGAGTGACATGTGAACCATGGTATGATATCATAATATTCAGGGTAAATGGTAGCTCACCTTTTTCTTGACAAACCAATAGAAAACGACCATTGAACCAACCAAAATCTAACACTTTCAGCAACAACCCATTAATCAATGTGGGCCATCTTCTTTAATTGACTAATTGCTGTTTTAAGTTTATGTGGACCAATTCTCTGTAAGCGTCTACATAAAGACATTTGGAGCTCAATACATCTTAATCAATCCAAACCATTCATACATGCATTTTTCCCTAATACATCTTAATTTGTTGTTTATTTTTAATTAATTCACATATTTATCATCTAAACAAAGGCAAACATAATGAACTACTACCGCTTATATTTAGTTTAGACAAAATATATTCAAAAGATAGGGGAAGAACACATTCTTATGTTCACATTGTTTAAATTGGATTTTTGCTCTCTAATTTTGATGACTTTTCTCTCTATATCTTCTCCAAAGTTGAGAGTATAATTTTTATATATTTAATCCATTCACACTTATTGCTCTCCACACATATATATATATATATATATATATATATATATATATATATATATATATATATATATATATATATATATATATATATATATATATTTTCCAATACAAGATGAAGGAATCCAATGTTTAAAATTTTGGTAATACATTGCAATGAAAATACACAAGTTAGAGTTGAAATATACTCGGATTACTTGGACATCATACCACAAATTTAGGAACAAAATTACGCATCAAATTCATCATCACTCATTCAAACCTTATTACAATCTTGTACCAAATGAATTGTGAGTAGTATTGGGACAACATATTACATATATATGCGTATCATCTCCAAAACCAACTTTTAAAATAAGATATCATACTACTTACTGTTAACAAAATCTTTGTATTAAAAAAATACATTTCGTATGATTTAAGTTCCCCATTATATGGATAGAAAATTGATTAGTAAATAGAGTACGCCACATATGAAGATTTGGAATCATTGAGAATCTTCTCACCACCACTTTAAGAATTTTTTTTTAACAAAAAGAAGGCAAATTCCTGATTGGCTGCTGCATAAGCAAGTTGACAAAAAAGAGAGGAATCTGAGAGTGCTAAAATACAGGAGTACACAATACATGTCCCTGTCTCTGAATCCTTCAACCTACATTAAATCTAAGCCATCACCAGATTTTTCTAATCTATAAAGGTGATCCAAATCAACCAGTAATAGTACTAATTTATATAGTGCACTAGTCCATCTAATTAGATGTTTAATTTCAATTCATGTAGACTAGACTCCACAAAAACATTGATTGCATTCAATAATAGAGTACATTGCAAAAGTATTTGTTTTCAATATAAGTATTGATCGACATACATGTAGTTTTCAGCTATATAATAAAATATTATCTTATCCTCTGGAAATGTAGTATGGTTACAACAAAATCATGGAGAAGCTTAATGCCAAATGTATGCATAACATTTCACATGTCATTTTCAGCACCAAAATAAGTATGGCTATAAATGCATAAGATTATTTACTGTGAGATCATCTTATTTGTCATTTTGCCTGTTTTCCGGTGATGTGCAGAAAAAGCGAGATAGATTGAAATGGCAGAGTATGTCATACCAAGTTTATACTCAACTTCCACCAAACTTCAACAAGACTTTCTATTCAACTTAAAAGTTCAAAAACAGACCTTATATGACTAATCAAATACAGAGTGTCTCCTCCTGGATCGGAGCATACGCGACACTTCTTCTGGACAGTGGACTCCTGATATCAGAAACTGTAGTACTGTAAATAGGTAACGAGAGCACTGACCGTTTTAATGAGACAAAGAGCACTGCCCAATTTAGTGCTTTTTTTTTTTTTTTTTTAGCTTGGACTGTAATTGGCATTGCCATCTACCTGAATAGTGAATACCCCTATCCATACTGGAATGGTATTCCACTGGCCAAAATAGTCCTTGTCACATAATATCTTTGTGTCAATCTCCCAATCTTCTCTCATCTTCTTTGCATTTGCTGATTTTCATTACATAATTAATCAGCAAACAAATCAGACACACAACCAACTTAGTACAAATTTTGAAGAAGGAAAAGAAAAGAAACACTATGTAGGAAACGAAAGCAAAACAAGGTAAAAGGTAGCCCAAAACACAAGGCCAGAACTCCAAGAATGAGGTTTCATATTCAATTCAGAACTGGCTACTCAGCACCTCCATCATGATAAAGAAGCTTTAACCTCTATCCTATGATTTTTTTTTTTTTGCTTTTTCAGAGACTTTGCTTCAGCACTTGAGTGTAGAGGTGGCCAACAATCCATAATCTGAACTACAGAAGCATATACTTGCGATGCAGTGAGTTAATGTTTACTAATGTGTACATTACATGAGAATTTGACAAGTAGGATTATTTAAGAGGTCTGCCACAGTGCTACATAAACAAAAAAGATAACTTTTTACAGGATATTATACATTTGCCAGCTTAAATTTTCAAGTGAACACAAAAAATTTTACATTCAATATCCTTCTATTATCTGAAACACAGAGAGCCATTTAAAAAAAATAAAAATGCATGGAAACATCTAGACTTCTTTTAAGGACAACACTGGAATCTATTGCCATTACGCTTCTTCTTTTCAACAACACAGTCACCAGTCACCACTTACAGAGATATACAGACAAGGAGAAAACGAAGAACACAACAGATTCAGGTCACGCAGAATCTTTTGCACGTAATATCTTTGAAAGCTTCTTTACAATGGGCCTCTCTTTTATATCCTGCTCATTCTTGAGGTGCCACTTCTTTGAAGTGTTTTCAGCCTAAAATAGCAAACTTTTAGTTATTAGTCTTATTACACATTTACACAAGCATAAAACAAAAGCTTAACAAAATAAACTCATCAAGCAAAGCTAGTATGTACCCAATGTTTCAGGGGGTGCAATTGCTCTTTGATATTCTCGAATTTTGGCCGGACTAAATCCCTTCCCTTTGTCCGAATATCATCAGTCTGTAATGTATTAATTTGATGTAAGCAAACAAATCAAAGAAACATACTACTCTGTATCTCATAAGACCAGGATTCCAACAGGTTCAAAACTTAAGTCCAACTTGACTAATTGACTTGGCTTTAATGTAAAAGATCTATGTACATAATCAGATAGAAACTAAAACATTAATAAGGTTCAAATGAATTTTATGGCAACGCTAACCTAAACAGGCATTATCCATAAAATATTCACTAGCAAGTTTTTTTCAATTTGTGTCAATTGTTGCATCAGGCTCTAAAATGTACCTATTGTGAATTTGTGATAATAATAAATATTACCCTACACTTATATCCCTGATCATCTTAGGTTGGAGACGTTGGACTCCTCAAAATTCCGGATCCACAATATTGGACATGGTTGAATCAGCACAAACTCTAAACAGTGAGCACATCTAATATTGAGTCTACATACAAAGGCTCCCATTTAAATGATTTAGTAGCAGACAAGATAAGCTTTTCGACAATAAAAAAGGATGCAAATATGCAATCTTTCCAAAAGTTGATGAGCAATTGGATTGTGCTATATGATCTTTCTTAAGTACCCTTAACTCCTGTCAGAAATATTATTATATTATTTCACTCAATAATATGATTTTGTTTAATGAGCCAAGCATCAATACATGCGAAAAATTAACCATACAAAAGTCACATCAAAATCACCATTATCCTGGTACTTGTTCAATCTAACAAGTATCCTTGGAATAGTTTGAAATATCAATATCAAGGCTTTAGGAAGGAAATAGAAAATGTTCAAGATACACAAATGATTGCAAGAAAGAGCAATTGAGTCACTTACATTATGAAGGTCTAGCTGTGATGCAAAGAATCCGAATGTGAGCGCAGCACTACCAAAGATAATTGCAGTGGCAACAGCAAAGGCTTTCCCAACTAGAAGCAAAAATAATCAACAATATTACTAAAGAAATGGGCAAAGAGATTGATTTATCCAATAATTTGACAAGTTGGAGCATATAGCATATTGAGTGAATGCAGCATGAGGTTTGGTAAATCAAATTGAATTTAAAATGAATAGAGAATGAAGGCAAGGAAAAAGGAAAAGAATGCATACTGTGTGCAAGACCTTCGGCTGCAGCTCTGGCTTTATCAGGATTGATGTGTGTTTGGTGTTGGAGGCGCAACTCATTGGCTGTTGATGCTGTAACCGATGACTGCGCTGTCGGCAACTGCCACCTGCATACACACCATGACATTGACTATATATGAACTATGATCAACTCTATTATATCTTAAAAAGAGATCAAATACATGAATAAAAGAGAGAAAGAAGAAAGCAGACCTCTTGGGACCAAAGGTAACTTGGGGAAGAGAGAGAAAGCCAGTGAGAGGATTCAAAACATCAGGGGAGACAGATGCATTTGTGGATTTGGGAAGTGCCCATTTTGCCCAAGTTGACAGTGATGAATCAGAACAAACCTCCGTCCGATAAATCTTGGCCGGTAAAGAATGGCGGAGAATCTCCGGGAGAATATCCGGAGATTCCGAATTAGAATTAGAATGAATTGGGGTTTTGGATGATTTCGTGGTTTTCTCAGCCAGACGACTTACGGCGTGTTTAGATTCTTCGAAAAAATAGGCCGCTTCCTTCCCCGCCAGAAAACTCAATTTTTTTTTTTTACTAAGATTAAAATAATGTAGGAAGATCTTTCTTCCCAAGTTATTTTTGATCAATATTTTTTTAACCTTAAAAATTCCACTTTTTCTTTAGAGCTTCTTCCTTCCCAAGTTAGCTTTGGTCAACATTTAATTATGTCACTCTCACTGTCTTTCATTTCATTTGGGTAGAAAATAAACATAAATAAGTAGAGTATTTGACCACACAATTTAGGTAAAATTTTGGATGGAAGGGTTCATACTTTTGTTTTTCCATTCATAACCAAAAATCTAAATGCATATACATACAAATTATGAATATAATTTAAATATAGAGTACAAATTAAGAAACTTTTTCCCGATATTAATATTTGGAATACGATAACAATTAGGAGGATTATTTTAATCAAAATCTACATTTGTTAGTTACAAGTATTTTTTATTGTAAAGATTAGTGATGTGACTAAACATGACTATAACTGATGTTGATTCCATTTTATTCCTTGTTTTCACAGTACCAACAAAATCATACATGTATTAATGTATATATGAAACCATGGTTCAAAAATGCAGTTTCGGTTACGATCACAGGAACGCTTATGATGCGTTGATCGCGGATTATGTCACGGTTGTCTCGATGCAAATTTGATTTCAAGATAGTAGAGGATTAGAGCCATTAGTGAGGTGATATGGGGGCATAATAAATGATTTGAGCCATTAGTGGGGAGATTTGGGGGAATCTTTCACTATATCTTTGAATGGAAAGTAACTTTTGGAAAAAAAAATATGTAACTTTCAATGCGGGGTGATTTAGGGTTGAAATATTTGATTCAGACAAAATCGCGGGGTTTTTTAATACCCCTTGTTGATGCGGACAATCTCGGTTCGATCAATTGAATTTCCTTTACAAAACAGCCCAACCAAGACGTCGCGGCCTTGTTTTTATACCATGTATGAAACTTAAAAAATTTACATGTAGGATTAAGTTGAAACAATACTCTGAGAAAAAAGAAAACAAAATATATATTTTATTTCATTCCTGAAAATATTAGAAGTTTACATGCTAAAATCTGCAGATTAGCCATTGGTTCGTACTAATAGATTGTCCTCTTTAATTTAATACAAGGTGAAGGCCTAACGCATTTGCTTATTGCGTTGGGACTAAGAATCTTAAGACTCTAGCCTTGCAAATCAACTAACGCATTTGGTCTTTGCGTTAGAGCTAGACAAGTAGATAGGTTACCCTACCATCAGTTTGGGATCTCCATTCCCAAACAAACCATCAATCGAGTTGATGATATTGTGAGCACGCAGCTTCAATAATTCACACTTTTGAGTGCGAAGAAAGATCACTCGATGAGTTCAGTAGTCCTGACTCCACATCAAAGTTTTCCAAACTTGAAAGTAGAGCAAACACCTACAGGGAAAGTCTTGTTACATCTAATTCCATGGCCTTCCCCCTTTTTGTTATGATAACCGGGGTAATCCCGCTTATCAAAGCAAACTTCATCAACCAAGTGCAGACCTGCTTCAGTAGCAAGTTCCTTAATATTCCACCGATCAAATGGTTGACTGGTCTTGTGTGTTATGTGTATTTCTCCATTTATCGCCAAGAGCTTGTAAGCGCTCTTCAAAAATCCAACCACCAGTTGTTGATGAAGTCTGCGTGCAAGAGAAGTCATTATAATTAGTTAAGCACGTACGCTAACTTTGTAAGTAATATGTTAGTAAACACAAGTATATAAATAGATGTTCGTAATTGAACACTATTCGATCAAAGCGTTGATTTCGTAACACAGACAGTTTGCTCATTGTAAGAGCATCCACTCCGTACAACAAAACGCAACCCTTCTCCTTGAGGAAGTCAAGGTTGCTCTCTGCATCTGTATATCTCAATTCCAGCTTCTCTGCATTAATTCAGTCCCAATATTTATTTAATCATTATAAATACATTATTGCTACTACATGCATAATGTATGTTCGTCTAAACAATCTCAAGTATACCTTTGGAATCGCGGGCATTTCTGAAAGACTTAGCTAGGCAGGCGGCAACTAGCAGTATCTTCTGCTTGTTGCTATAATGTTTGATCCGTCTTTCTTTGACCATATGTTTTTTTTATACTAGGAGAATGTTTTTTCACTTTTATGTTTATTTAGCAACTACACTAACAAATGGTTTTTTAGCATTCCAATTTGCTTGAATCAACCAGGCCCTCTATAAATAATATGGGGTGTGATATGAAAAGCACTCACCCAATTCCAGCTTATTCCGATTCTCTGCTAAGTATTGGAAGTATCTTTGTCAACTTTCCCTAGGCATTTGGAGTATAACTGTTTCCAATTTTTGTACTTATTTTGGATTAAGAATTTAAGATCTATCACACATACTCAATAAAATGTCTCTTAGTTTCTCTCAAACATCATTATAAAGAATTAAACTTGCATGCTCTTTCATATTCTTATGACTGCATTGTGTTATGGAATGGAAGGCCACATTCAATTCCTCAGTTCCAGACATACAAAAGGTCACTACAATAATTTATCTCCTAGTAATCTAGTGTGTATGTACGCACGTGTTCCTCTCGACTGCCCCAAAAATTTCTCATCTTGGGGGTGCATTTTGTGCCATAACAAGCCGTGGGTATCAAATTCTAGCAAGCTCATTCACAAAAATTTGAACATTAAAGTAAAAATTGCATTACCGTTAAATGAAGATCAGAATACCTTTAATACTTGAAGTAATCTTAAATAATTATTAAAGACCTTACATACTACTTAAAGTAAACTTAAATAGATCACCGATTATAATAATAATCCGTAAGAAAATATTATGGAAGAGAATGAAGTACGTCGTTAATTAATGTTCCACCTTCCCTTCAACAAACCAAAAGTTCTCTCAATTACATTCCTAGCTTTAGAATGTTTCATGTTGAAGTACTCCTCAGCACTTACAGGTACTTGATCCCCCCATTCTTTCAAGTGATAACGATGCCCTCTATATGGTGCAAGAAACCCATCACAATTAGTGTAGCCAGCATCTACCAAAAAGTAACAACCTTGAAAATCATAGAATAGATTGAAGCCATTATTAGTTGTAGTAATCAAAATTGTTATATATCATATGGTTATTTTTAATCACATGGTTTACCTTGACGCACCTTTAAACCATTAGGCCTCGAAATTGCATCTCGTAAAACACGACCATCATGTGCAGAGCCTTCCCATCCAGGTAAGACAAAAACAAATTCCATGTTAGGTGTACAAACACTTAAAACATTCATTGCAAGGTTTTCTTTCCTTGTTCGATACCTTCCTCTATCCTCATTTGGAACATGAACTTTAATAAATGTACCATCTAGAGCTCCTAAACAATTCTACAATTATAAGGAAAATACACTAGATTATTTACATAGGATGTATATAGAACATTGCTTTTAATCAATTAAAGAATGAGCTTTTTTTTTTATAATATTTTAATAATGTTAAATATACCTGGAAGCATTTCCATCTACTATCCTCGCAATCTTCTGTAATAGGTGTAGGTTTTTTGAGCAAGTGATGATGTAGCTTTAGAACCGCAAGGAGACAAAGGTTAAATTGTCTAATAACACTTTCTCCACTCCTATAAAAGTAATGTCCTATCGACCTATTCTTTTTATGATGAGATAATGTATACAAAAACATAGCTACAATCTCCTGTAAGCTCATATTTCTAGTCCCTCTCAATCCACCAATATCGCTTATCATCTCACAAAGTACACCAAAAGTATGTCTGTTCATACGCAATTCACTCCTACAGGCAACATCACTATCTCTAATCAACGAGTTTAAATTAACTAATCTATTACGTTTCTTATCTCTAATTCGGTGTATTTTATGTAGAGTTACACCTAAACTACGTAGCACGAAATACATGAGAATCATGAAATTTATAATAACTATTAAAGATACAAGTAGTTCTGTTTGTCGCTTTCTCTTCCTCCTTAACAAGGATAGTCCACATGACTCCATTTCTTCACAACACAAAAAGGATTACCCTATAAATTGATTATTAGTATTTACTCATATGTTTTCCTAATATTCTTATTTCATTGTCTAAGTGCCTTTTTGCCTAATATATATACAACCTTTGGTGGGAGCATTTAAGAAAAATACAAGAGCAAAAGCCAAAGAAAGGCATGCAATCGACAATCCACACAAAGAATTAAAAAAGAAAAGTCAAGAGGTAGTATGTATATATGCTAATGAAATCAAAGATAGCTCACAATAGTGGACCCGCAAACACTCCATTTCATACATCTAAACTATTTCACAATTATATGTCGGTAATTTTTTTTGAGTTAATAAAAAATCTGCTAAATATATACAATTATTATGATAAAATTCAATAAATTTCATACAAAAGATGACTACTTTGATAAAAATATATAGCTATGCAGGATAATTATACAACAAATTTGGAGAAAAAGTGAAAAAAAATTAGGGAAATATCATAAAATAAGAACAAGATTTACTGGGATGCCAAACATGGAATTTACATGTAGTCCAACCAAAGAGATATGATTATCCAAATTCAGCAGTACAACATTCAACCGTTCAGTCAAATCACAAGCATCTTCAAAAAAGTGTTCATCTATTGCCATATGTTATCATTATTTTATGTGTGAATACTTATGTATCTCTAATCAATCAACGAAACTTCGTGGGAGGGTAATCAACATGATAAAATCTGTACCATCCGTATTAAGAAACAAATTATGCATCACTGCGTCACTGATAATACCTTAAGAACAAGATTTTAATTAAATTTAAAAAAAAAAAAAAAAGAATTACCTGGATGAAGGCTGAACTATTGCTGCTCAACAGCTCAAGGGTGAAGGATGAATATGGCGGCAGAAGAGAAGATGGACTTTGGCGGTAATTTTCCTGTTTCCCTCATTCTTCCCTCCTTATATTTGATACCTAGGGGAATGGAATGGGCCAAACCCACCTCCCCCCAAGGTTTCTAAACCCCATACCTCATGAGTTTGAGGTATGGGTTTGAAAATCATACTTTTGACAACCAAACATAAGGTATGGGTTTTAGTCCTTCTAAACCCATACCTCATACCTATATTCCGCGAACCAAACGCCCCCTAAATACTATGGAGTATTTAGCACAATTGTTGTGTTAAAACATTCATCAAGGATATTAGTTGAATAATCACGAGACAACAATGGGATAAAAGTTAAACAAATATGTGCGGTAGGAATATGGCTTTACTCTGTAGTTATTTTATCAACAAAGAAATAATACATTCCCTCTCTTCTTTACAAATTTTTAATGTTTATATTGACTTCAACTTGTTAAAACATTTTACTATAAAAATTCACTACATTTGAGGTCTTGTTAATTGGGAAATTTCCTATTTCTCATGTTGAGAAACGAAATTTGTTTCTCATGGGAGGCATTTTTGTGAATAAATCAACAACTTTTTCATTATTGTGGGCTCCACAACTGAATAAAATTGAACAAAGTTGTTGATTTATTACGAAAATAGCATGTTTGTTTCTCACCATGAGAAACTGGGGCATCCCCTTGTTAATTTTACCTTGAAATAAAGGCGATAACTGAACTTCGAAGATGGATATGCTCTAAATCTCTAATCTGAGTGCCATCACTAGAGTTGGGTAGTAGACACAGTAGAAGTAGCATTGCCACGTATGCCCTGCGCACACACAAACACAAATCTTCATGCCAAAGAAGATAACAGTCATCTATGAAGCTCATAGGTTATTCTTAACTAAAAGAAAGTCCCTCAGATTGAAGACTTTTTCATGTCTTAGCATTAGATAGGTTAATCATCTTATCAATAAATCTCAAAATCGCTATGGTTTATGCCCTCACAGGTGCCCTACTGATACGAGAAATTCAGGGGTTGCAGTGGAAACGTACAATAGTTGTACAAATGCTATTTCATCAGCAACCAGTAAGAAGAGATCAGTAGAATTGCTCATTAGCTCTAAAATGGTTCAAACATTACACATACTTGAGTAGCTTCTCTTTACAAAAATTTGCAGATGCACAACACGATCATAGCAGCAGAATCCAAGCTGTGCTTTGGAACAAAGTGAGTTAATAAAAAATTTGTACACAAAAACCATCAGACACCATAGTTTGCCTCTATTCTTCACAGCAGTCGGAACTAAGAGTGACAAATATTTTCTAAGCTATGTTTTAACCACTCTATCCTTTTAAGACTCAAGCGATGGAGCTCTTCTAGATAGATAATGAAGTCACTTGAAGGTCTGCCAGAAGCCATATTAGTGAATCTCTCATAGCCTCGACTTACTGCTTCATGGACATGGTAGCTGATTCTTTCCTCACGACTCCCAAATGTACCCTCCACATAAGTAAAATACCAACGAAATATCCTAGCAAAATCTTCTCTAAACCTTTCATTGACTGGAGACCTCACATTCTTGGAGAAGAGAGTTACTGGTTTATATCGTGAATCAGAGTGATTAAGACCAATACTAGTTGCAGGGTTCCTCTCTTCTTGATATAGATGGTGAGGTATAGTTTTCTCTGAAGTCTTTCGACTGTGATTGGAGGACACTTTTTTACGTCCAAGTGATAAGATGAACTTGAATGTGCTGCATTTTCCCAAGCGAAAAGGCTCATCACATCTTGCGCCATCTCCTCTCTTGTTGTTATAGCCAGGGTAGTCCTCAATTTTAAACGGAACACAGCTGATCAGTAAAAGAGAGTTCTGAGAAGCAAGTTTCTCGATATTCCAGAGACAAAACGGACCAGATGTTTTGTGGTTAACGTGAATTTCACCATTGGGTCGCAGCATATGACTAGCATTGTACAAAAATCCATCTACAAGTCTCTTGTGCTTGCTGAAGACACCAAAATAACGCACATAAAAGCCAATAATTATTGCTAAGCTAAATAAAATGAATAAACTTCAAAGACACAAAAGAGTTAATAACATGTAACGAAGGGCAACAGAAATTAGCAATATATAAACAAACAATGTGTTTCAAGTTCCATACATTTGTTGACAATTGATGATTTTAGGACAATAGCAAAGTGTCTTAAGCATGAAAGAATTTCACTTGATTAAACATCATGTTGTCAAGTAAACATGTAGAAGAAAAGGCATTAACAATATTATCTCAGCAGACTGTATCCTAAGCTACCTCAAGCCCATCCCCATATCCACTCCTAACCAAAAAATAGGTACTGAGCTTACTTGATTAGATGCAGGCTTTGTTCTGTTCCATGGAAGCCAGCGTGAGGAAAGTTGAAGACAATGCGATCAAACTTCCTCATTTTGAGATCAGTGTGAAGCTTCATCTTGGTTGCATCAACCCCATGTATAAGAGATGCTCCTAACTTCTCCAGTGAATCCAAGTTTGATTTTGCTCTTTTGTACTTCTTCATCAAAGATTCTGTTTCAGGAGTACATATACTTATATTAAGTTGTGATAAAATTGAATATACTTGACTTACGATGACTAAAACAAAAGACTCCTGGAAGAATCCACATCACTCCAAACATTCAGCAACTCAGTGATAGTGAGATCAACAACAATTCACCAAAACACTTTCAAATGTTACTAAACCAGTATACTTAGATTTTCAATAAAGCCACTTAGTCTTTAAGTCCTTAAAAGATTAGTAGATTGCTACTTACTTAACATAGTATAATTCAATCATGAATAACTTGCTAGGTGCTTCCACCAGGCCAACACATAAATAAAACAAATTATGAAAGCCAAAACAACTAATTAGAAACAATGAGTACATAGGTTAGAACATAATTCAAGGGTAATAGGGATTTTGGACTCATTGATTATTGCAATCAAGTTTTTAAATCTCCTTTACTCAAACTCTTCATTTCAAGCAAGTTTGGACACATTGAGGTCAAAGAAAAAGTTAAAAAAAAAAATATGAGCAAATGTCGCATACTAGGACCATATAAATTCTAAATCAAAATCCAATAAATGCTCATAACCATTTGAGAATCCAATAATCTCGACAGATGATCTTGACATAATACTCAAATTCAATGAATGAACTTCCTAGCTCTCAACATTATCAGATTAAGTAGATAAATCCATAATCAAATCAGCTAAAAGTCAAGATTGACACAATATTAAAAAGAAGATGACTTTATACTAAAAAGGAGATAAACAAGGAGCATAATTCTAAAGGATATAGTGAGTGATAATCTAATTGATACACAACAATGTCAAAGCCTTAATCCCAAAACGAAAAAGACGGGTTCGGATTGATCGAACCCCACACAAAAATAATAAAATTTAGCAAGTGGAAAATGATGTTGACCCATTAAAAAACAATAATTCGTCTAAAAATGTGTAGTATTCCGGAAAGAAAAGAAAAGAAAGAGAATGTTAGTAGCAGAACCAAATGAAAGTGCCAAAGATAATGCAAATGAGAAATCTCCTTCACCCAGAAGAAGTATTTCTTGTAAAGATGAATATTCATTATTCATCCATTTCTCTCTTTCGTCATCTCCTTCTCCCATCACTAATTACTAATTAATCACACTACTACTTCAATTATGCTGCCTTTCCTTTACTGCTAACTCAATTCATTTATTTTCAGGAATATATTACGACTATTGTTTTGTTTCTCTCTCTCTTAATTTTACTTTCTTTTTTTTAAAAGCTTTTTTTTGTATTCCGTTTATTCTCTCTCTCTTTTTTTTTTCTTTCTTTTTTTTTTTTTTGCTCAATTTTGATGGAGTTTATCCTCTTAATTTTCAAAGTGCTCAATTTTAATTGACTATGTAAAAATTTCACTAAAAATATGTTTAATTAGCAATAAGGGGGCCTGTCTAGTTTAGCTTGATTTCAATTCAATTTAGCTTCAATCAGTTTAATTCAGTTCAGTTCAGCGCAGTAAATGTGAACAAATCCTAAATATAAATTATAATAATGGATTACTAATAATTTATTTATTGAAAGATTTCAATAAATAATCATGTATAAACCATAAAGCACTAAAATGAACATCTATGCTCCAATCAGTTTAAAATTACAAAAGAACAATTTATACCATATCAAACATTTTTTTTATATACAAATTGAACTAGGATAACCTTTAATATCCCTTATTAAAACATAATGTACTTATTTTTTTTTATTTTTATTATCTTAAAAAAATTTTGAACAATTTTTTCAAGTAATTAATCCTGTGGTAAAACAGTAAATCAAGTTGCAAACAGTAATTGGACAACTCACCAAAAATATTGAATAAATGACTATGTTTTTTCAATATATTTACAAAAATGCTAACAAATTAACAAAAATTCGTGTATGTGACATATAAAACTTGTATTTGCCCTGTGCTAAACAGAATATGGCCTCACTTCTTCAATAACTAATTAACTATGAAACATTATAGCTCTTTGTTAAGAATATATCTTGAGCTATAATATATGAATAGATTCTATTGAGAATTAAATGTTTGAATAATAGGAGTAATAATAACGGAGAAGGTAAAATACATCGTGTGTTTTACATTACTCATTCGTGTGTTTTACATTACTCATTGAACTCCCTACACACAAGTCAAACATAAAAGGTTTTTACCATATGCTCCATCATGCCTCGTTACTTTTGTTTGACTATTTTTTCTCTCATAAATAAATAAAAAGAATAAAAGTGCAATAATAATGAAAGGAGTATTTGTATACACTACATACTACTCCCTCCGTCCCCGAAAGAACGACCCATTTAGATTGATTACGCGGGTATTAAGAAAGTTAAATAAAAAGAAGTAAAAGTATGTTGGAAAGATAAATTTACATGGGATTTGTAAAAAAATAGAGAGAGAGAGAGTAATAAAATTACATGGAAAATCAAAATTTTATATGGGCAAACTAATTTTGCACAAACATTGTTGCAAATTGGTGGGTGTTTTAATGCAAATGGATCATTCTTTTTGGGACTAAAGTTAGGCCAAATGGGTCGTTCTTTCAGGGACGGGAGGAGTAGAATTATACAAAGTATATATGACCACAATTTTCATTTGTTTCTTGAAATTGCAATGATTTGAATTTTGAATTTTGAATTTCGCACCAATAGAGAAACCTTTTTTGGTACAATGTTCAGTTTTATGCATTAAAAATGTCGACCGTATGTAATGTGACGGGTAACAAATTCCACAACGTATTATCAAACCAATTCTTAGGATACTACTTGATCCTAAGCATAATGGCATAAACTCACTCATTTATCCAACTTGAACCTTTAAACACACCTGCATACAGAGGATGGTCAAAGTTCAACCAAATTAGAAATCGAATCAATAAGACCACACCAAACTAAACAAGACCTTGAGAAAAAAGACCAAGAGAACATGGCCCAATGTACGCAGTATACCAAAGCACATTCACCTACAACAGTCTGATCAAGTATAACTGTATAAGTGATCCCTGGTACAAGAAGCACCATGGTACCGGACTATTAGCAAGAGGCGGAGGGTGTGTTACTTGAAGCACACGCGTCACACAAGTATTATGAGTGCAATAGTCTTGCGCATTCCAGGTCAGCTGTATAATTTTTTAGAGTCAGTCCAACAAAAGCAAGCTTTTCTTATTTGCTTAATTACAATCTGGTATATTCACACATATCCGTATAATATTTGATCCAGCAAACAAATACTGTAATGATATGCATAAAGCTTTCCAAACAGATAACAAGCAAATTACAGGAATGATGACTCTAAACGCTTTCTGCCTTTCTGTGACAATTAATATTCTAATGAAGCAGAACATCTTAGAAAATACCATTATTAACATTGTTATACAGAAGATCCTGAAGACGATCTAAACCGTCCGTTGTGTCGACCATGACATCAGAAATTCATCACAAACACATTACTAACACCTTTATAGTGAGCCCCTCCACAGTGGATCAAGAATGGGTCAAATTTCTTAAGGACTAATTAAACGAATTCAAAAAACAACTGATTGCATATGAGGCTAACTTTATCTGCCTACCAGTTCCCTACTTTTGTCCATCTAAAAAGCAGCACTCTTGAGCCACTTACTTCTCCCCTCTTCTTAATATCAAATAACATTATAAATACTACAAAATAAAAAGTAGTTTACTTTGTTTCACTTTCGCCTGATCCACTAATACTTTAGCTTCTTCAACATGAACCATTCCAGATCTCCTTCATTTTTAGTCTCCATCTGAAAATTTTCTGCTCACAATACAGCTAACACTAAAGGAAATTCATGGTTCCAACAAAAAAAATGTTCTAATTTTTTTTATCTTGGAGCGTTGATATTGCCCTGGTATAAACAGCAGTTTCACCTCATGTCTAACCACTCTGAAACAACGCAAACTCTTCCACCTCCTCCCCAAAGACAACATAACACACCAACTCCAAGCCATTTTTCAATATCAAAGCAAGTTGTAAACCAAAAAACGCCCAGAATGAAAAGCTCACCAGCGCCTTTTGTTAGGCTGTTAAGTAATGACCCTTTACTCCTCCAGCCTCGGCGAACTCACCCATTAGTTTGGTGCAGTGCAATTATATGCCTTGTGTTCTGTCTCCTCGTAATCTTCCTTGGGGTCACAACTCTGATCATCTACCTAGTCATCAGGCCAAAATATCCGTCGTTTGATGTTCCCAACGCAAATCTCAACACAATCTACTTCGACTCGCCTGAAAATTTCAATGGAGACTTCACTGTGCTAGCAAATTTCACCAACCCAAATAGGAAAATCAATGTTAAATTTGATTACCTGGATATAAAGCTTTACTTTGTTGACAGGCTGATAGCAACTCGAGCGCTAGAGCCATTTAGTCAAAGACCAGAAGAAGCAAGGTTGGAGATGATTCACTTGATATCAAGCTTGGTTTATCTGCCACCAAATCCTGCAGTTGAGCTCCAAAGACAAGTGCAGAGCAACAGAGTCACATATAATATCAAGGGGACTTTCAGGGTCAGAGCAAAAGTGGGTATTGCTCGCTTCACATACTGGTTGCACACGAAGTGCCAATTAGAATTGACCAGTCCACCTCTTGGAGTTCTCGTAGCTAAAAATTGCAGCACTAAAAAAAGATGAATATGAAGAACATCAAGTATTCTACTTATTCTTCGTCCTTTCCATTTTTTGTTTAACTTAATTATTTTTCTAGACAACATTACCTCTTAGTTGTGCTCAAATTGTCTTGGTGTACAGAAGCTAGTTTTAAGAAAATCCAGCTACATACGTATAATGATATAAATCACTAAAGAGTTGTATAATTTTTGTAACGGGATATTTCATATTGTCACTTCACCAACGAGAATCAACAAAATCAGCTTAGCATCTTCCTCTTGGTTTCAATTATTGCAGCAATTAATAAAAAAAATTATCACTAGGAGTTTATACATACAATTACTACAGCTCATCTTCCCATATATTACACAGCAAAGCACATCTAATAAAGGTAGCTACTTTTCACACTTTCTCCCCCAATCAAAAAAGAAAATCTACAAAATTGTCAATTTCCAAACCATGAAGAGAAGAGACACAAATAAGTGGAGATGACATGGCTTGTCATGTAGTCAGATAGCAAAACAGAGAGAAATCTGCAATTTACATTATCTCAATAGAGGAAAGCAGACACTTTCAAAGATACAATGGATGTGAGATCCAGTATTTAGAAGAGGGGAGAAAAAAAAGACCTAAGAGGTATGAGTTTGGAGTCCTACTATTTCTATTTTTTGAAAGCAGGGTTCCTACAGTTTCTATCATCACATAACTAGCTGACTGTCAGAAATCAAGATTTGTAGAGGTAGTAACTCCTCCAACCTATCATTTTTGTGACAAGGAATTGCTTCTTACTTGAGGTGGGGTGTTGTGTGGTTCGTGAACTGAATTAGAGAGGCAAGGCCCAGGCCTAGGCCAGCCCCCGTGTACCAGTAATACAAAATTAGCTGATACCAGTCAAGTTAGACCTTAAGTTAAATAAGGGAAATTCAAATTCCATACTGAAGTGCATCAGCAGTCCTTTGAGCCTAATTAGCTAGGATGCTTTAACAACCATTTAGTGGTTTTTTTGTTGTATTCACAGCCCAAAGAAAATTGTAATTGCCAAGGGATATACCAATCCAATTAATTGCAGACAGCTAGGTGGTTGAATACAAGAGGTAGAGATTTTAGTAAACAGATCCACGCTTCTTAGGAGATGTAAGCAAATTTCTCCATTCAGTGAGAAACAGAGCTTCTCATGTAGTTTTATATTTATGTTTTGGTTAGCCAAACAACTTTTCACTTCACTGTTTCCTAGGATGTATTTTTTTATAAGTCAACAAAGTGACCACTTTAGCTGCCAAACAAAATATCATTATAGACAAACAATAAACAAATCTCTTAAACTCTCCGTCCTTGCAAAATGTTATCACCATGCACAAATTTCTCTACTCAACACTTAACAAAAAAACCTATTAGCCTTATGGCCTAATGTGAGCATTAATCCCTGTCATCAGGGTTGTCAATCTTGCAGAAAAGAAAAAACTTCATAAACATTACAAACTAGTGAATTCCAGGCTCAGCAGCAGAATTAGGTTCAGAATTTCATCTTCTGATGCACACCTTTCACATATTTGAACTCAATTCGCTACCATCATAAATGAGGAATCAAGAGAACATATATAACAATTTACAATTCTAATTAAAGCATTTGGTCCCATTTAATATGGTTGTAGGATTATTCACATCGGCTTCAAAGGCCTATTTATTTAACACTGGCTATTTCTTTCAGCTGCCTTAGCATTCCAAAGCTAAAAGTCATCCTGCTTAACAGCGTATAAACTATAGAACTCTTTTTTTTGAACTGACTCATTCACCCCTAGAGAAGTTTAGCACACTTTATGATATATAGTTATATACTTATATGTGTCAAACAAAATTTATGGAAATGAGACCCATGTTTCACCACATAAGCCCAAGTTTCCTAAATAAACTGTTAAGAATGTTATCTTTGTTTATTAAAAATTTAAAACACATGCCATAGTTCAGCCACAAACCTTATATGTTCAGGATCATTGACGATATAATTCACAAGAGAGAAAATGACACACATTTCCATTATCACATCAGCTCAAAGGAAAGGGTACTTCTCTGTGCTATAATGACCCCCTAGACAAAATGGGAGAATTTCAAAATCACTTGCTTAAGGAGATCTCTGACGAGAACATAATAAGAATAAGTATTTGATAGAGAATTCCATAGAATGAGAACACACATGAGAAAAAAAAAACCCAGGGATCATATGATTCAAATCATGTTCAAGTCACTAGCATAGCAATCAAGAAATGACATCAAATAATTAAGCAAGCTAATGATTTCATCATAGTACTCAAATCTATCAAAATTTGGAGCAGCAGAATCTAGAAACAGTGCAACTGAAGAAGTTACATTCCAAACTACAAAAACTGCATTGTCAATAGAAATCTAAGCATCAAGTCTACCAAACAATAACAGCAACTGAAAAATCATTCTGACAAGGTCCATGATAACCATGCTAGGCAACAGCATGCCCAAATCGAGTATGCAGTACAATTAATGTCAATAATTAGTCAAAATACTAGCATAAGCTACACATACACAAGGTTTAAGAATCAATAGAAGAAATCGAGCTGAGAGTGCTCGAAGAAACCAAGGCATAAACAAATATCAAATCTCAAGTATCCAGCAAAATTTCACTCATTTATTCATTTCATCATAAATTTTCATATGGTAAGTAATAGCGATGAATAAAATTGTAAATACAATGTTTAGCTATCCGAGAAAAAGGGTTTTAAACTAATTTCAGGATTGACAGGTGAAAAAAAAAATAATAATAATAATCATCTTTGTGCAGACTAAATACTCCCTCTTCAGTCTACCTTCCCTCATCCACTTCAGTTGGTGTCTTAGCAATGATTGACAAAGCATGTAAACCTCCTTCCAATTCATCCTGCAACAAACCATAAATCATCCTATGCCTCTTAACCAAGCTCTTTCCTTCAAACTCATTCGAAACTATCTTCAAATTGAAATGGGTTTCCCCATCACTCCCCTTTACTCCAGCATGTCCAGCATGCTGATAAGATATATCCTCAACATCCAACTCAACAGGCTTCAATTCTCTCTCCAATTTTTCCCTAATTCTCTCTCCTCTGCTCCCCAATCCAATGCCACTCAAACCCAAATTTGAATTGGACTCATTTGCAACAATTTCACTCCTACCCACATCAAGATCAGAACTCTCCATCCCAGAAGACCCATTAAATTCCAGTTTAGGCTCCAAATTATCAACAACCAATTGAGAGTCTAACCCAGAAACCTCATCTCCTTGTTCAATTTTCTCATCCTCCAACCCTAAAAGAAGAGCCTTCCGCTGCATCAACTTCAACATATTCAAAAACCCATTATTCCTAGAAGGGGTTAAGTTCTGACGAAGGCCCAAAAGGGTGACAAAATCAGGAGAAACCCTTAAAATTTCAGGAACAGGACGACCAGATAAACCCAAAACAAGCAAAGCAGCAAGGCCTTTAGTCATAACAGAATCAGAATCAGCTTCAAAATAAACAAGTTTAGAACCAGAATCAGAATCAGAGTCTAAGAAAGCTCGAACCCAGACCTGAGAAACGCAGCCCTCAACCTTGTTTTCCTTGGTTTTGAACTTCTGTTGAAGAGGAGGAAGATTGTTGGCGTAGAACATGAGCTGCTGGTACTTGGCTCGTGGGTCTTGAGCTGCTTGAAAAAGCTTGACGATTTCCTGGAGTTTTGGGGGGAGTTCTTCAACTGGTTGAACAGAAGAAGAAGAAGAAGAAGAAGAAGAAGAAGAAGATGAAGGGGTGGAGGAGAGAGATTGGGGTTTAGTAGGAACTCGTTGGAAAGTGATGGATTTGAAGGAGGAAGGAAGGGATGAAGAAGACAAAGGGATTGAAATTAAGGGTTTAGAAGAAGAGAAGAAGAGATTGAATTGGGGAAGTTTAGAGGAAATTGATTGAATTGATGAAGAAATCGACATTTGATCCTCTACCCTGCAAGATGAGCAAACTTTTCTCAAGGAATCGCATTTACAATCAATGCAAGTTTCATCCTTTTTCTCTTTTATTAACACAATCAAATCCAAAAACCCAAAACATAAAATTCAGCAAACACTGACACCTAAAAATGATCAATTACTATAATATAAACACAGAAATATACAGTACCAAAAAAATACGCTTCAAGGATGGTATGAAAATTTGAAGCAGATGTTGCGCGAATTTTGGCTCTGAGAGAAGAATTTGTGAGAAGACTTTGTTGGTTTGTATGGTGCTTGGACTATTAGAAGAATGAGCTAGATTATGCTTGCCAAGTTTATCAAACTCAGAAACCTATTGTACTTCCTAAGTTCGGAGTTCATTAATTTACCACACGGGGGGATGGCAATGGGTCGGGTCCCCCAGACCCAGACCCGAAATTTTGGACATGGATCCAGATCCGACGCAGACTCAGATTTGTCGGGTCTAAGCCTCGTCTAAAACGGGTCTGGGTATGATTGCTCCCCAAATCCCCATCCATTGTCTAATGCAATCAAATTATGCTCTCACAAAATGAAAAGGTCACAAAATAATACGAAGTACTAATTTATACTAATTATGCTACACACAATTTCACAAAGTCAAAAGCTCACCTCAATTTATGTACTGTATTCATTTTTTTTTTACTAGTACAATAGAACAATGTTATTTGTATAACAATTTCACTAAATTATTTAAGCATTAAGAATTTCATTGTTTATACACACGTACAGAACATATCAAACCCATAATTCATTAATTAAAAAAAAAAAAAATTAACCAATCTCATTTTGTAAACCGAGATTGACAAATTGATAGTGTAAAACGAAATTCCCAAGCAATTCATTTCTTAAACTATAATCATGTCAACTAATTGATTTAGGCAAACAATTAGAGACTGAGGAGTTTTGAATATTTACTTATTGATGATAAGCATCGAGAAGTACTCCATAGATAGTTGCACACAGAATTTGCAAATAAGTATGGTAAGTAGTTTTACATACAAGTTGCAAGTTAGGCTCCGTGGAGGTAAAAATTAATAACATTTGATGAATGAATAATAGACGATAGGAAATGATTTTAAAAGAGAAATACCAATATGCTTTCAAGATCAAGGAAGAATAATCTAATATATCATATAACTAATATATAAAACTAAACTTTTAAACAGGTCATAAAATAGCGACACTTGACATTCTAGCTTTTAGTCAAGTCTCGCGCCACTTAGGATAGATTTAAATAGATTCATAAGATAAAAAAGTTAGTTAAATATTCTTTTTTCAATCAAATTAGGATAGAATTTTAGAATAAGATGGTTAGTTTAGAGTTTTATTTTCGATAAAATACAAATAATAAACTTATAGTTAGGCCACAAGACAACATCGTATAGCATTTTAACTTTTCACCAAGTGTCGTACCACGTTGGATAAATATAGATAGACTTTGTAGAAAAAAAAAGAAGTTAATTTAGAATTCTATTTTCAATCAATTAAATTGAATTATAATATAATTTTATCTTAAAATTCCATAAACAACTCGGGCATCGCACGGGGCACAAAACTAGTATATATATAAAGGGGAGTTTTTTCTCGAGTTTTTAGAGAGCCACGTAGGATTTAATTTTCTTAACGCGTCATGTAGGATTATAAATTTAAGTGGTAGCCAATTAAATAAGTGATTATTAATTTCTTTTACAATTAAAGAATTCAAATGCCACGTAAGCAAAATTGGCGAATGAGATTTTAAAGTTTAAATTAATTAAATACAAAATATTATCTTTTAAGATTAGGAATTTTATCTAATATTTTAAAACTAATATAATAACAATTTTAATCACATAAATATGAAAAATATTTTTTGATAAAAAAAACTAACAAACCGATCGCACGGGCTTCATCTAGTGATGCATATAAGGTAAAACCACCTCTGTTTCTCACACAAATTCAACCGGCAGCTACAAAAATTCGTACGAGGCATATTAATATGTGAATTACATTACTTCAAACCCCAACATTGAATTGTGCACGTACCACAAGAGATGAGTAAATACAAGCAACATTTAACTATAAACTTCCAACACGATACATACAATGTACGAGCAACATATATACTGTTAATTTCCAACACGATACATACATTTATGTAATCGGATTAGCAAAATTGAAACTTTATATATAGTATACAAAATAAGAAATGGGTTTTTATGAATCAAGTACAATCCTAGTATTTGTAACCCTTTTCAAACAAGCTCTCACTAGCAGCACCAGCAGTGGAACTTCCAGTGGCAACATACTTGCCTAGGGTGGCCTCAGAGTTGGCTTTGCACCTTGCCAAGAAGACCTCTTGTGCTTTAATCACATTTTCTTTCTTTCCACCCCATATCTTAAGTGTACTTTTCTGCAGTGCTCGCCCAAACGAAAAGGATAATGTCCATGGCTTCAGTACTTCCAGCTTGTTCATTGCATTCAAGTTCACTGTCGCCTCTTCCTCACTCTGTCCCCCTGACAAAAACACAATTCCTGGGACTGCTGGTGGGACTGTCCGCCGGAGTGCTGTTACAGTGTGCTCTGCGATTACTTCTGTAGCAACCTGACCATATGACATTAAAACAGAAGCATCAGTCTTGTTAGGTTACTGTTGATCATAGTTAGTTTAATAGCTGGTTATTATAATAGGGAACAAGATAAGTATGAATTGACTATTGAGCAACTAGGAAAAACTTAGGTGAAGCGACCAAAACAAAGCTGGAGAGCTAAAGAAGATGTTGATTCACCTTGGGGCTATCTGAACCCGGGGTAACCATGTTGGGCTTGAGAAGAGTGCCTTCAAGGAGTACATGGTGATCATTGAGAGCCTTATAGACTGCAGCGAGCACAGTCTCAGTCACAGCAGCACACTTCTTTATGTCATGGCTCCCATCTGTTAGTATTTCAGGCTCAACAATAGGGACAAGCCCGTTCTCCTGGCATATGATAGCATAGCGGGCCAAACCCTGGGCATTCTGCTGAATTGCAAGCTCAGAGGGCTCTGTAGACCCAATCTTGAGCACAGCTCGCCACTTGGCAAACCTGGCACCAGCCTTGTAGTACTCCTGGCAACGGGCACCAAGGGAGTCAAAGCCTTGAGTTGTTGTCTCTCCATTGGTTCCTGCCAACTCAATGACTCCCTTGTCAACCTTGATGCCAGGAACTACACCATTTTCCTGGAGAACCTCAACGAAGGGCTTCCCTTCAGCGGTCTTCTGATACAGTGTCTCCTCAAAGAGGATGACCCCAGATAGGAAAGTAAGAGCTCCAGGAGAAGTAAATAGGAGCTCCCGGAGAGTTTGGCGGTTGGACTCAATGTTCTCGACATTGATGCTAGCAAACCTTTTCCCAATAGTCCCTGTGCTTTCATCTGCTGCTAGGATCCCCTTCCCAGGAGTGGCAATGTACTTGGCAGTCTTGATCAGCTCATCTAGAAAACAAAAAGGGGGAAAAGTTGTTCAAAGTTTTACATTATGTTGAGTAAATATTATCATATTGGATGTACTGGAGAGAAGCAAGTACCTGCATACTTCCCTACGAACGCAGACATGGTTCAAAAGTTGAAGGAAGGAGTGAATACAAACTGCCACGGGAAAAAAAAGTGCAATAACAGATTTACCCAATATGGCTATATATAGAATCAGCTTAATAACTTGAGGGAATATACCAATAAGATTTCTCTCCTCGCGCCATGTCTTGACACATGCACGTCGTTTTATCCAACGCAAGTCTATCATACATGGATAAAGGAATGAGTGATCATTTCCTCAGCCAAGTGGACCAGCTTTGTGCTCTTCTTATGTGTGGAACGGCTTCTACTTCTTATCCTCATTGTTATTTTGTGAGCAACTTCCACAAAGGAGGGAATTAAGCACAAAGCCAATGTTTGTATTCTTCTGATAAAACAAATTTTTCAGTACCTACTGATATCCATCACAAGCTCACAACCCACATTCTCAAAAATATCAAGATCCTCCATGGCTTTGATGGAAAGCTAAGGAAGCTATTTTTTATGAGCACCCAAGCATCGTTGCAATACCACAATGATAAAACTAATAATCTGACCTTGCGTGCGTCAGGATTAAAGGTAAAGGGAAGGGTTGGGGGGCGAAGATAATACCTCAAAACCAATAAGCACTGAGAAAATTACAGGACTTGAGCAAAAAATTAGACAAAAAGCAAAGAGAATTTGATTCAGATGTTTAATAACCATTCGTCAATCAATGACAGACACCTCAAGGGGTGTCGAAATGAGTTTCTAATAAAATTAAAGTTGGCTATGACAAAATTTACAACACGATATATGCCATTGTTAAGATGCGCACTTTGCGCTCATACCATCATTGCTATCTTCTAGGGCCTCATTGCTCCCTTCAGCTACATATCTGATCACAACATGGTGCTGAATGCATTGCTTGTAACAAAATTGAGGTGTATAAGTAAAAAAAAAAGGTTTTGAAGTATAATGGAGGCAATACATTAGCTAGGTTGAACCTCCCAGGCCAAACTGATCAGCAGGCTACCAGGCACTCTTGATTATTATTTGTAATATTCAATTCAGCTTGTGATTATTGAGATTCACAATGAATAATGCTTCCCTCCCCTCATTCATTCATCATCTGTGCCAAAATACCTGTCTCCAAACTCGCCCATGCCTGGAATGACACGGAAATCTTTATTTAAGCCTGTTTCTATTTCAGAGGTCACAATCTTTATTCTTGGGAAGCTTTTACAGACCATATGCACTCCTTGGGGTGCCTGGTTAAGAAAATAGATATTGATTTAGATCTAAGAATAGCAAAGTAGTCCTGCTAAAGAAGAGCTCTGTATGCTGATTGGAGCAACAAGAAGCAAAAATAACACTACTCACAGATATGAGATTGAGAAAAATTATGTTTCCTTCAGGTACACCCTTCTTTATGAGTAAAGATATGGCTTGAACAGCAGAATTACCTACGGTAACACCCAAGAAATCAGTACCCTGTAAAAGACTTGTCCAGTAAAATTTGGCATGATAAAAATGAAACATTTCAAAAACAATGAAATAATAATGACCAAGAATTTTCACTGTCCACCTCAAATTATTTATCCAGCTTGTAGAAAACACGAGCTTCAAGAGGGTAAAATAAGAATATGATTTTAGGTTTTGCACCCATTAATGACACATTGACACCAGCCCTTAACCAATCTTTCAAACAAGAAAAAAATGTTCCTCCAAGGATTAACCCCAAATACAAGGGAAACAATGTTCTAAACAGGTCAATGAATCAGTCACTATTGACTTATCTTAAAGTAAGATTCACTAGGACTTTTAAGAAGTAGCCTCATGAAGGTATGGCAAGGACAATCCATGGGTACTACTACCTCCGGGTTTTTTTTTTAGTTGACACGTTTTGATTTTAGCACTATTCATACACACTTCCCTTTGACCATATTTTGTGAATTGTACGTAATGAAAAATATAGTTATGTGGGATCTTATTAAATTCGTCACGGTATATATTTTAAAAATATCAACTTCTTGTAATTTTTGCTTATCGGTAATTAAAGATATTAACGATTGAATTTGTGCATTAGCAAACGTGACTAAAGAAACGTGTCAACTAAAAAGAAACGGAGGAAGTATTATATTTAAAAAGTAATAGATAATATATATATCAGACATCTACTTTAGCACAGAGCAAGTGGGGAAGCCTCCTAAACTATACCACTTATACTCCTTGCAGTAAGTCATGAATAGAAGAAAACCTGTTCCTAGGATAGGATCCAAGAGCAATACATGTCGATCCGCAATATCTTGTGGTAGTTTTTCATATATCAGCTGCTAAAATAAATGTGACTGAGATTAGTAGAAAAATAGAGTACAATAAATAAATTACAATAAACAAGCACTTCTAACACAAAACGATGAAACAAAAGAATCCAAGCTAGAGATTCATACTTGCTGCCCATTGTCACCTTCTCTATGTATAAGAATTTTTCCAATTTTGATTCCTTTGCAACATGCACGTAAAGCATTCTCCATACTTTCACCACTGGTAAATTTCAAAAAATTTCATGAGATACAAACATACTTACTAAAGCAGACCGATGATAAGCAAGTTTCTTTATGGAAAAAAGGAAGAATTTCAACAAGAAAATTATGCTATAACCTTAAAGTAAGGCCCTGTTCTCTTCACCTTAATTTTGCTGAATTGAAATTATTTTTACTGAACTGAAATTATTTTTACTGAACTGAAATTATATTTGCTGAACTTAAATTATTTTTACTGAACTTAAATTATTTTTACTGAACTGAAATTATTTTTGCTTAAGTGAAATTATTTTTACTGATTTTCTATTATAATTCTTTAAGAAAACTGAATTTTACTGAACTGAACTTATTTTTACTGAACTGAACTTATTTTTACTGAACTAAAATTAATTTTACTGAATTGAAATTATTTTTACTGAACTGAAATTATTTTTTTAAGGTGAATAGAACAGGGCCTAATAGAGACCAAACATATCTACTATGAAAGATTAGTCACCAAACTTCACAAAACAGAGTTTAATTTAATCTATAGATATACTTCAAAGCTTGTATTTATGAATCAACGATTCAAAGAAACACGAATGTTACTACTTCCTCCGTTTCTTTTTAACTACTACACACTTTCCTGTTTTGGAAATTGTTAGTTAAAACGCTTTCCATTTTTTACATTTCTTTCTCTCTAACTCTCTCATACCCCCACATGGGTCCCTTTTAATTTTCTCTCTATCTCTCACCTCTTAAAAAATTGTCAAGGAGACCGTGAAAATAAAAATGTAGCAACTAAAAAAACAAAGGAAGTATCATTATTTGCTGACAAGCAAGCAAGATATACAATCATCTTATTTAGCTGATCTCTTTATAAGAAACTGAAAAATAAATCCAATGAAAGTCAGAAATAACGGAATATATCCATAGGTTTTGACGAACCTTCTAATAATGGACACCCCACATAATCTCTTGCAGAAATCTACACCAGTATATACAGAGCCTGCAAGTATAAACAACGAACAGAATGAACTAAACACTGGCAACTCACAACCCTGGTCTGATGTCTCAGGATTGGAAACTTTGGAAAAAGAAAGTAGATTAAAGTGCTAAAATTATCACAGCCCTAAAACCAAATTAAAGGAATATACTCCTGTTCAAAATACATGGGAATTTCTAGAGAATAACATGTTGCACATCCACCTAGACAGTTAGAACTTTATTGAACTCCCTGTTCACCTGCTTTCAGCTTGGACTTTCTTAGGTGTTCCATACTGCTGTAAACTGAATTTACAGACTGCATCAGATATTAGAACGGAACAATTTACATGGATCTTTTTTAATAATATATGTACCATATCAGCCCATCCAAGGACATCACCTATATTAAGCAGGATAATTCTTAAGATTTGGTATAATGAGGCAATGAGCTTTTATCATATGGACTTTAGCTTCCTCATCATTTCCAACAATTTTCAAAGCAATAACACAGAACAAAGCAATTATTTAGACTTGCGGATGAAATTCACTGTGGTCATACATTTCAAAAACAGGGTATCCAGAGATGAATACAGTAACTTGTTAAAACTGACGTTGAATATGATTCAGTGGTGAATTCCATACCAAATAACTGGCAAGGAGCTTACCAGTAGGAGTGATAACCTGCTTTTCTGTGAATGGAAGATGTCCTAGTCCATGCTCAACAACCTAAACAAAATGTAGATTATAAGAGCACAGCAAACAAAATTCATTGTATATAAATAATAAGAGGGAAATGAAATTTCCCACATGAATCAGGAAAGTAGGAAACAATATTGTCCGTTGTCCAAGCAACAAACCAGTGCTCAACCAGTTGTAAGAAACAAAAGACAATTGAGGAACCATGAGGTGCTGCCATGCTCAAAAGACAATATCAAGAGCCTTTATTCGTCAGCCTTAACATTTATAATTATCATTTCCATATTATACTCTTAGACATATTTCTTTCCATCCTTTTCTCATTCATTCTATCAAAAAATGCTATAAACAAATATGTCACCATCATCTAATATGCAGAAGACAGTAATTCAGAAAGCAAGTCAGTATAGTCATGTGAACTGTAAAAATACGTCAGTAGTTGTTTGGTTGACATATAAGCATATGGAAAGTTGACTTCATCAGGAAGCAAATTTTCGTGCATTTGCTTAGTTGGCAATAACCTGGAAATTCTACTTACCCACAAAATTGAGGAATTTCCTATTGGGAAGAAGAATTTTATATCGACGAAACAAATCTTCACATATCATATATATAAACAAACTATTCAAACATCTCTTTGAAACAAATATGACAGTCAAAGTTTAGTCAAGAAGCAGTACTTACCAAGCGAATCAGCCGATCAGCATAAAAAACAAAATCATGTTTGGTAGTTTGTGCATCACGAATAAGTGTATGCATGCCACGTATCTACAAAAGGAGAATAAAAGTGCGTTAATTTTCCCTAATATAAAAAAATGTATACAAATTATTACTCATTATAATAAATAGCAATTACCTGGAAGGTTGTCTGGATAACATATAAGTTAGGATAGATTTTGCAGAGATCGTGCTGACCAAGTTTTGTTCGAATATGTTGGACAATAAGGTCAACAGCAACATGGTTGTCGCCACCACGGGGAATTATAATATCAGCATACTTCTTTGTTGGAAGTATGAAATCATCAAAAGCAGGCTTCACAAATTTTGAGTACTGCAGCATTGTCCAGAAGAAATTTTGTCAATAACCAATTTATCACCGTGATACTATGCTAGTAATAATGCTGTGAAATTTAAAATACTGCAGCATTATTCAGAAAAATTGGTCAATAACCAATTATCACCATGATACTCTGCTAACAATTATGTCAAGAACAGCCCCCCCCCCCCTCCCCTTATTGGCTCTTTGAGAGCTAAAAAGAATGTTCCATAGATTTTGGTTAAAAACTAAGAAGCATGTTCCATAAAACTTGGTTAAATAAAAGCGCCAGCCCACGCAAAGTTCTTCTCTAATCTCAAATATTAGTGATGCTAGTCCTAGTATTCAAAGAGCTATGAAGGAAAGGTAAATTCAAGGGCATACAAGACAAAGGATGCCTATATAGATATTAGAATAAATTGCATGGTCTAACTTAATTAGCTTACCAATTTACAGAGATCATGAATGAAAAAGATACTCCTCCCTCCCTAAAAATCTCACCTCATCCTCGAATGAAGAATTGGTGTTACTCAACATAATAGAGTCTGAAACTCAGAAATTAGACCTTGTATATCCGGTGCAGAGAAGTAAATTCACAGAAATTAATAGATAATGCTCACATAAATACACGGTCAATAACTAACCTGGTCCAATACCGTTGCAATATCTCTAGCCTTCTCAGCAGTATCACGCCTAATTCTTCTTGCCAATCGTACATCAGCATCTGCACTGGAAACCAGCATTATGAGAACAAACAGTAAAAAGGCGTAATTCTGATATAAGTAGGATGAGTACTACAGATTAAATCTATCAGGAAAAGAAAATTGAGCTTTAGTTTAAACCTATAAAAATTCCAAGCATTGACCCTATAAAATTAAACTTCAAAGACACATAACTAAGAAGATAGCAGAAAACAAAATTGCATTTTGACTTTTTTAGCAAACATATATCAATAAGATAAAATTTTCAAACAGAGCCTAATCCAGAATTCTAAAAGGGATAAACATAGAGCATAGATCTATGATGTGTAGACCCAAGGATGTCACGTAAAACAATCTTGTATCAGTTAACAAGTCTCATACGACATGATTCTACAGAGAAACAGGAAAATAGTAAGATAAGTAAAATGAAAGAGGATGGACCTGTATCAACAAAAATTTTCATATTCATAAGCCCACGAACACGAGGATCGTGAAAGATAAGTATCCCTTCCAATATAATTACATCTGATGGGTTGACCTGCCAAGATTTTCATATCAATATGTTATGCAGTGCAAATAATTCACTCTCTCATTCAAGCAGCTACAATTATAAAATAACAAAGAGGCCAAAAAATAAGTTGAAGTGCATAACAATAATTTCTTGTTCTCCTAAGTATATAGGAGAATAGACAGATTTAACTGTGATTATAGCTTACCCTTCGAGCTGGAAATACATTGTTTTTGTAACTCTTAAAATCGTAATTTGGAATATCCACTGCTTTCCCACGCCTTAGATTATCCATGATACAAAGCAACTCTTCAGTGTCAAATGCATCTGTTGAAAGAGGGGGGATACTTCATTGTTAGCATCTTTCTGCATATAGACAAACTTTTATATCCCCAGACAGCAAATAACAAATTAAAAATTAAAAGGGGCCCTAAGATCCGAGTATTAATGGCTAATTTAAACTGGAGTTCACCGGTACAGTAGCATAAGGTGAAGCATGGGTGAATTACTATAGAAGGATAACTTTTTAGAGGAGTTATAATAAATGACTCATGCAAAACTGCAAATAAATTACCAGTTAACCATCAGTGTCTCGATCTGGTTAGGGAATTTAGCTAATACTACCTCCATTTCCAAGAATTCTCAATATTTACTGTTTGCACACAAATTAAGTCAATAGGAGAGAGACAGTGTTTATGTGGCAAGTAGGTGTAAGAAAAAGGTGGAAAAAGTAAGAGAGAAAAGAGAGAGTGAAATTAAAATAAGGGTGGGTGTAATAAAAAGGTAGAAGTGAGCTTTCACAAAAATAAAATAAAAAGGTAGAAATGAAGTATTTAAATGGAATAAAGTGCAAATGTTGAGAACTTTCTCAAACGGAAAGTTTTATGAACTTCCAAAATGGAGGGTAGTATGATATATCATGAGGAAAAAGCTTAAGTGGAAGTGTGGAACAAATGAACATACAATTAAGTAGCAAACATGCATCCAACCGACATGTTAACTCTTTCCAATAAATAAACGCTCTGGCTTTTGTGGGACAAGATTGTTATCCTTATCCTAGAAGTAATCTAAGTAAACTCACCAGGATGGTCAAAGTTGCATTCATGAACTCGTAAAAGCTCCTCCTCAGTCAGATTATGATAAAATGAATCCTGTCAAATCATTCAACGCAATTGATGGATTAATGACCAAGGGTTGAAATTAAGCATTAGAAAATTCTTATATGATAGCAAAACACAATCTGTGTGTAGACTCCAAGCTGGTGCTTTGGTGAAAAGTAGAACCAAAAGTCTAATAATCCAAACATACACAGTACTTTACCAGCAATGAAACCAATGGACTCATGGCTACAGGCCTACAATTTTCAAGTATTTTCATTGACAAGGAGTAATTTATAAATTATGAAAAATCACACTCATGAGTTATTTATGGTAAATCAAGTAATTCATTACAAATTCCATAGGGAACTTGTAGACACCTCCAGCTCAAAGCAGATTCATACAAAGAATTATATTAGATCAATAATGATTTACTATGCCTCCTTTCACTAAAACTTTGGAAGATTGATTCGTTGACCCTAATTAAAATACTACAAACAATAGAGAGTAGTAGAAAATTTTAGAAGAATAGTGAGGAGATCAGGAATTATGAGGAAACTATGTTCAAACAAAATATAATAACCAGTTATCCAATTAAACCAATTAAAGAACTTACACAACCCCATCAAATCCCCCCTCTCCACAAAAGAGAGAGAAAATAGACCTTGCTCATAACTTTTATGTTTTCGTTTGCCTATACTCACGAATTGTCGTTACTGCTTGACAAGATTGTTACCTGATTAACAACCACCACACGCTGGTCATGAAGCTGCTGAATAATCATATCACAAACAGTAGTCTTTCCTGATGCTGCACCTCCTGCTACTCCTGCTCAGGGAAATGTCTGATTAACCAACAAAATCAACCGAAAGGAAACATGTGAAGAAAATAGTGAAAGAAAGCAAGTGACCAAGCATGAAAATTCAGGCAACTAATGCTTCTATTTATCTCTAGAAGAAATAGAAATAAGCAAACAAAAGAAAACCAAAGGTAGTAAGTGACATACTACACGAACAAAGCATTAAAAGATTTCAGTGAAAGGGCAATGTGTGACATATACGCCAGCCCCTATGCTAGCTTCACTCAACTACATGCAAGAGCATTCCAGGACTTTATGGAAAAGCCAGAAGTCAGAAGAGTTAACAAATGAAAGATCTGTACATACCAATGACAAAAGGTTCATTGTAAACATTTTCAGTAGATGTTGTTGGTTGTTCAATAACAGCTTTCCTGGATTCTATGCCATCCACGTGAAATCCAGAAAAATGGGCTCCTGATGAAGCCTCTATCATATCTACGACTGACTGGGAACCCATTCAACAAAACTGCACAAACAAGGCATGAGGACATGGAAGGAGATTAAAACTAAACAATACTGCAAGCAGGTAATGTGGTGCTCCCACTTAAAGCAAGGACTAAGAATCATATAAATCTTTAGAAGTATCTACACATGCAACATTTTGAAACTGTAGTGATTCCAGTAACTCACCACAGCATGCGTTAAAAGTTCAACAATCATTAGTGTTAGCTCAACAGAACACTATAAGAAGCATGCACAAATGTATTATCCATGAATCAAGACACACATCTAATCTAACATTTGGGGACAATCGACAAAACATTTCTAGAATCCTCTTCCTGTATTAGTTATCCTGAAAAATCAGGTTAATGGAACCATATCAAGACATGACTCTTCCTATTACTTAATATCTTCTACGTGAATTATTGACTACTAGAGTTATCAGAGAAGAGCCACTAGACCAATTTGTTGTAAACAATTGGAAAGGTGAGTTGTACTTATACTTATGATAATGAATTTTTATGTAAATAAGTTACGAAAATCCTATACTAATGCCCGTGGGATTTTATTTTTTTTTGGGTTGAATCTTCATTAATTTCCATTTACCGCTCAAAGAGGTGGAATTGGAAATACATAGTGATAAACAAATGTTTGGGTATGGGGTGCCATCACCCCGAGCATTAGAATGAAACTCTCATTTGCAAAATTACATTCAAATACATTATCACTATAGCTAGTCTGTTATTATTACTGTCTACCAAACAGATCATAAGTATACCAATATTGACCAGTTAGCCAATACCTTAATGGTGATTACTTTTCCGACATCGGGCATCTCTACACAGCTTCTAATCGAGCAATATATATACATGGCATTACAGAAGCCAAGAAGCGGATCAAAGTCGTGGTGCATTTATCCCTACTGAGTTCTGCCCCATTACTAAACTAAACTTTAACTACAATTAAAAGAATGTCAATGCCTCCAAGTCAAATAATTAAATAAAAGGGTGCTTTGTTCAGGAATAAATTCCATGTTCCTTAGATTTGGTCTTCCCGACTTATTTTATGCAACATTCAAACAAGTATACAAGCTATATATCAATGTCATTAAAACCTTAATAATTCAAAATAATTATATCAACATCAATAAATATCATTCTCTTTAGGCTTTAGCTCATAGTCCCATAAACTTACCACTAGTAATAAGAAATTAAATCTTTAAAAAAAATAAAATATCAAATTCCTTTAAAATCAAAACATTAATCTAAATTACCCACATTGATCTGACGCAAGCTGCTCATACTGTCATACATCAATTCAAACAATGGAAATATAGAAAACGACAAACAAAAATCCAATCTTTCTTAAAAAAAGAAAATCCAGCTTATTTATCACGGATCAAATCTGAAACCAAGATACAATTATATTAATAATCTTTTAACTAGGTCAATTTTATTCAATAAACAGGAATGCAGCACAAAAATTCGAGACCAAATAAATTAAATTATTAATTTGGGAAAGCAAGAAAAAAGGGAAATTAAAAAAAACAATTAGAAATGAATATACCTTTGATTCGATCTGATACTTTTGCAGAAATTGAAGAAATTAATGGGAATGAAAAAGGAAGAGTATTTATAATTAAAAGTGAAAGAGATGAAAAAAAAAAATCAAGAGTTACGTTGTCTAAGGAGAAGAGAAGATTGATGATATTTATAGTGGGCGCAACGATGAGAGAGAAACACCAATTACTTGATGTTTATTTATTTATATTTTTTTTTTTAATTTTTTTGACAATTATTTTATTTTAATTTTTATTGTTATTAATTAATAGGGCTTATTCTTTCCTTTATTTACCACCGACGTCTCCTCATTTTCATGTTTTTTATGCTCTCCATTAATAATTCATACCTTAGATCTTTTATTTTTTAGGAAATGTAGATCTTTTATTAAACAAATCTTTCCTTGTCCCAAAAAGAACAAATCTTTCATCCTTGTATTACATTTTTTGTACCCTATATAATGTTAAATTATTTACCAAGCAACCCTATTAGAGACAAGCAAAGCTTGGTTTAGTACTCCGGGTAATGTTTTCATCACCTAAATTTGAGGTTATAGAATCAAACCCTATTAGAGACACTTTGGAGTGGAGATTTCCTTGTCCTTCTTCCCACTCCCAAAGTACCTGCCCGAAATAAATAAAGTGTTGAAGTAAAAAATTTCTTCTGTAGTATTAAACCCTATGCATAAATTAAGATGTACAAGATTGAATACTCTGTATTGATGGAATACGTCATACAATAGAACTTGGACATTGATGGTAGAGTTTGGAATTTTGGAGTAATAATGAAAATTCAATTAGTTTGCTTAAAAAATATTAAAGAAAAAAAAAATGTAGAAAATGAGAAGATGATTGATAGTGATGGAGTACTAATCAGTAGGTTAGAATAGATTGGAAGGGAGCGATAAGTAAAAATAAAAGTGAGGTGATGTTGGTGGCGGGGAATTGTACAACAACTTGATCGGAGCTCCACGTAGATACTAGATCATGATAATGGCCCACTTCTATGAATAATTAAATTTTCTCAGCTCTTCTTCTTCAATGTACCAACTTTTTAATTTATGATAATCCCTCTAAAATTAATGCAATTATCATTTCCTTTTTGTTTTTCCCATACATTGATGTTTTGAGAAGATGAGTTTTTACAATGATTTCATGATTCGTATATGATTTGACCTCTAGTCTCTAGAAGAATAGCTTTATTTCAAAAATGGTGTTAAGAGAATATATATATAGTGCAAAACCTAATGATGAACACAATTGGATTATAGATGACTAATGACTTTTTATAGTACAGTACCTTAAAATTTTACAAATTAACTCTTACGCTTTGTTTGGATAGCAAAGAAGGAAGGAAAAGAAGGGGAGGGAAAATGGAGGAAGGGAAGGGAAAATAAAGGGAGGGGGAGGTGAGCTCCATTTTCCCTCCAAATCTCTCCAATTTTGGAGAGATTATGATTATTATAGAGAAAGGGAAAATGGATTTCTCCCTCTCCTTCCCCTTCCTTCCCCCAATCTTTTACCCAAACAAGAGATTTTGTCCCCCTCCATTTCCCTTCTTTTCTTTTCTTTCCATTTCTTCCTATTCAAACAAAGTGTTACTCTACAATGACCTATAATAATGTTTTGTTGGGTCTTTTTAGCACTCAAAAAAATTTATGAGTGAAGTATTTAGGCGAATAGACATGCATAGAATGATTTTTTACTAGGAGTGTTTTAAAACCTCAATAATTTAACTTTTTTTATTTAATGAATCATTAATGTCTGAACCAATTTTAAAAATGTTACGCATAGCCTTAAGTGCTTTATATAAGAAGTTAGAAATGGAAAAATCAAATGAAAATATAGTATTAATTACATTGTTTTGTGCGTATTATCATGCATTCCTAAATTAATATTTGTATAAAATTTGGAAATATACATCAATTGTTTTTTTTTTTTGTAGCCCTAAGGACTACTGTTGAGCCCATGAGTAAACCCACATATGAGTGGTGTGTTGTCCCATATTAATTGAGTGTGAAAGTTTGTATTGGTATGTGTATCCCACATTGAAGAAAGAAGATAATTGTGTCCACTTTATAAGGCTAAGGGGCAGCTCCCTTATTCATTGTCATATGGTGTTAAACCTCCTTGGCCGAGTAAAGTGAACACTTCTAACGGGTGTTGTTTCGGGTGTTTTTGTCCCTTGGTGCAGAAAAAGAGGTGAGATATTCTCGGATTTAGAGATCAGGTGATTATCTGATGTAAGAGAGTGTAGGGTATGCTGTAATAATTGTAGATGTCCCAAAAATGGGGGGAATCTCCCTATTTATAGGGTCATCGGAAAACGTGTCCCTGATTAGGTCACTTTGACCTAATTATACTGGGTTGCGTCGAATTACGGCTTTCTCGAGATTTTGGGCCCTTGAAGGCCGCCTTTTTCTCCTAGGTTCTAAGAAGGACACGTGTCAAATGGAGGTTCGTCCAATTTGGACCAACCAGGGTATGACACATGTCAGGATATGATTGGCCCATGTGGCATGGGTAAAATTACCCAAAATAGGTGTGGCCCTGGCTTGTTTATCATATCAAAGCCAGGTTGAAGAAAGAAGATAATTGTGTCCACTTTATAAAGCTAAGAGGCTACTCCCCTCATTGTCATATCTCATATGGTTTTGAGGTGAAACCTCCTTGGTCAAGTAAAGTGAACACTTGTGGTCGTCTATCAGCTACATATAGCATAACCTTTATTATTATTTTTGGTGCAAACAAACATAACGGGGTACTCCATGTAATTGATGACCCCAATTTTCTATTTAATCAACCACATAATGAACAATAAGAAATCATTAAGATTTATGAACATACTCTAGTGGAGCAAACAAAAGAAGACATTGTCAAAAAGCAAAAGAAGATGGGTGAAGGTTGGATTGACATATCTGAGAGCACGTTAGGCATTAGGTTGGGCTGAAGAAAATGACCTTATGGATCTGGGCCTAAAGTTGGACCAGGCCATTAGTCGGTCCATTGTTCCTTTATAATCAAAACTTGATACATTACTTATAATCAATCTCTAACGCCAGATCATTATCTTCTAATGAACCACATGGACCAGAATTCGACCTTTTTTTAAAAGTGGTCATTTATTCACCAAATTTTGCATGTCAACTCAATTACTGTGCCAATTTGACACAGAATGCCAATGTGACAATGTGTTATGTGTAATATTAATTCCGTACATAAACTTTTTATTTGATATATTGCATCCAAGCACTACACCAAAGTCGTGTTTGAGAAATTCTATTCAAATGAAAATTTTATCCTAAAGTTAGTATGATTTACATCCCATTTAACAAAACAAGTACAATTTATCAGCTAATCTGCAAACAATTTTATACAAATACTTAATAATCCAGAAAACTAAACATATAATGTAGCAAACTTCTCATATCAAATAATGCAACTAGCTCTTGATAGCACATATCAGTTAATTATCAATCAAGGTCTAATATGCAAATCCTTTACACCTAGTTTTACCAATTATTCATCCAATTAAATTTACATCTATTATCTCAGCATATATGAAAACTTTGGGGATTTATAGTATGTCAAGAATATAATACTACACCCTATTCACCATATCAAGTCGCAAGTTGTGACTATATTTGCACATAACCTTAACAATTTCTTCTTATTAGATCTTTCTGTTTAGTCCATGGCTTTATGTAACTCTATGGTTATGGTTTATCAACAAGTCAACAACAACATTGTCTCCTTCCTTCTGTTGACTAAATTTAAGCTCGGTTGTTTTACTTCTGTACCTTTTGAAAGTTCGATCCAAGACAATATGAGTTTGTTTTAAGCAAATTAAATAATTTCTTTCAAACATGATGATGATTTTAAGCTTTTGTTATTGTGTTTGATCTAATTTGTTGGTATGTAAAAGAATAAAAAGATGATTAAGCTTGTTTATTGTTCAACTTTTTTTGTTAGTAATAATAATTGATTAAGCCTATGCCAAAAAAAAAAAAAAAAAAAAAATCTACCTATAATCTATATATATATGGAAATTAAAGAAATAATGTGGCATTTAGAGGAGGGGTCAATTTTGATAAGTTGGTCGGATAAATGGCGCAAACCATGGCAATATATTGGGCATTCCTAAGTGCAATTGCAATTTGCAAGTAGAAAGTTTGCAGGCATCCTAGATAAAAGAATCCCACCAACTCAACAAAGAAAGTGTAGTAAAAGGAGTAGGAAAGTTGCAGAAAAAGGAACTCGATCATGGACCCTCAATAATCATCATCTAAAACCATGCTACATAGTACATGTTAACATATACTTGGTATAAACTTCTATGTGTTGAGCCCATGTCCAAATCCACATGTGAGTGAAAGTGTTGTCCCACATTGAAAGAGTATAATAGTGATGGGAAGTGTATTCCACATTGAAGAAACAAGAAAATTGTGTCCATTTTATAAGGCTAAGAGGCTACTCCCCTTGTTACCATATTTTTTGAAGTGCAACCTCTTTAATCGTATAAAGTGGACAATTGTGGCGGGTGTAGCTTAGGCCCATTTATCACCACATGCGAATATATAGTGGACCCATTATATTTGTAAAACTAATCGTTGTATCATTTGGAATAGTGTTTAAGACCATTTATGAGAATAAGTGTGTAATTAGTCTTTTTTTTTTGGTCTAAATCAAGCCAAGTCATTAAAAGAACAAAGTTAGCAAAAGACTAGCTAGGTAAATCTTCAAGTTACAACTCTTGCAAGTAGTAACAGTAGACTTAATTAATACGCTGTAAATTATCTAACTAGCTAATAATTCTTCATAAATGGTAGTTTAATTTTGATAGTATTGGATGTTTTTAATTTAATTTTCTGATTATTTTGAAGAGAGTGGTGGTGGTGTAGGATGCTTTCACATTGTTGGTCCATAGGAAAGGAGGCATAGAAAACTTTTGCAATCATTTAAATTTGCTCAACAGCCCAAGCCAACGTCTTAAGAAATTGACTCAAACTTTTGGTACTTTTTCTATTTTCCATTCAAATTAAAATTCCAACGTATACTTCCTTTTACCTTTAATGCTAACAACTATTCACAATCTTCTTGTAAACGTCAGCTACTTTGCCTAATAGTCTTACAAAATTAAGGTAATTGTAATCTAGGTGTTGGACGCACCTTGTATGTTAATGTTTTTGTGCCTCCTACAGTCCTACCTCCGACGAGTATACTATGTAAAACGTTAGTTGTCTCGTTAAAGTATATTTTCAAAGGTTAAAAATGGATGCTTTTACACTTATCTACTAACATAATAAAAGGATGTTGAATATATATGTTGCAATTTACAATTACAAAGTTTACTATTCCGTTTTAAAAAAGGAGTTATAATAATTTTCTTGTACTCGTATGTATAATGTATTATATCTATACATCTATACTTCTATACTTTATTATTTCGGAGTATATATGAAAAAAAAAAGTTTGTAAATATGTGTCACGTGTCACCATATATTATGTGAATTTAGCCAACCAAATTATAGTGAAATTGGATAATTAAGATGACTACTCCCCTTTACATTTTACACCATAGTTAGTCTATACCAAACAAGACTTTAAATAATGAATTTGGACTAACATGTCTCGCCCATATTCTATGGAGTCAAAAACAGACTTACAACCTTACAACCGTCATCTCCAAACAAACGGTTCATCACTCAACCCACTAACTTTGTTTTAATTTTTTTTTTTTTTAAATTACAAAATCCAATCAACCCCACCAAAAAAAAGTAAAAAAAATAAAATAAAGGTAAAAAAACGGCAATATTAGTTTGAAGGGAGAAAGTCTCTAATTTAACTCCCTCTTTCCCTTCCATCTCTGTCTCTCTCTCCAATTTCTCATCATATTCGCCAACTTCCATGCTCTTCTTTCTTGCCACATTTACACAATTATATTCTTTTTTATTTTTATTTTTTATTTATATATATTTATAATCCGATTTTCTAGGGTGTTTAAATAGAGTGATCATAAAAATTTGATGGTTAATTAAGTAGCCATTTTCCAATTATATAACTTCCAACACCAAAATTATACTCCGATGCGGCAAGAGAAAAGCATTTATGGAGAAACTCCAAACAAGAATAGTATGAAGGGATTAAAGGCTTTACTTTCTAATCACTCTGATGATATCTTCTCTGATCATGAACTCGCTCTTCGTAAAGCTGATGAAGCAGGTTCTTTTCTCTATTTCTCTTCTTTCATTCTTTCATTTTTTTTTTTTTATTAATCAAGTTAAGAAGTCGTCATCATCAAAGTTAGTACAGTATTGATTTTGATTAGCTTAAACTTGTTTCAATTTTTACATTGTACGTATGGAGTACATTAGTTAGTTTTGAGTAAAGATTAGTTGAACACAACACCACTCTAATTATAAAATGTAATGCACCTCGTAAGATTAGTATAACAAGTCATAGTTCTTAGGACCTCATACATCATACCAAGTATAATTATTGTACAAAACAAAATATGTGAAAGGCTAGTGTCACTAGTATTATTGCATGAATGAGACCAAGATTTATTATACTAATAAAAATGGAGTAGGCCGGATGTAAGATGTTCAAATGTATGGGTTGCACAATTTACGGTGATCACGTGAATTGCATAAGTTTGAACGAACTGATATAAGTTAGGTGGCGCCACATTTATCACTATAATAATAATAATACCTCCGGTCTAAATTACTCGCAATTTTGGAAAATTTTATATCTCGCAAATAATACCCAAAAGTTGCGAGTAAATTATATCTGATGAATTTGCTTCTACTTACAAGATGTAGATCCAAACTATATATTCATACTTCATATTAATCAACTTAAAAATTTAATACTCTAGTATGGACTATGGAGTACGTACTAGGCTAGAATTATCAACACTGGTAATTTTGATATTTATTTTTATCTTCTCTTAAAAGGAGAGAAGTGTTCAAATTATTCTCCCTAGTACCTACTTGATTGTCGTTTTAATTGAATCTAACTATGTCACACGATGTAGGAAATTGTAACAGATTTTCGTCAGCTTTAAATCAATCGACGGTAGGATGTGTACTATTCTTTAAGAAGTTTAATTTCCTATATTGTTGGAACCAGGGTTTTAGGAGCATAATGTTACTTCTTAGCCACTAACTCTAAAAGTCTAAGATATACGGAGTACATTTTAAATTGAATTAGTTGTATGCTTGTAAACCAAACTGTATGTGTGTTAGTTTCTTATTTGCTCCAAAAAATGATTTACTAAATTGAATTTAATCGTATATTTTAATTGTTTTTAAGCTTACTTATAAACCATCAAGATCATAAAATCGATTTGATTTTTCTCGTTATTAATTAGGAAGAGAATATTTGGGAAAGCAATCCTAATAAAAAACACACTAGATTCTCTACGGTAGAAGTACAAATAAGGGACACTCAGATTTGTTCTTGTTCTGTTTAGACAAAAATACTGATCTAATATGCTATTGGACAATGATTATATTTGAAAAAAAAACAAGATGGGCCCAAAAATGGGATAATGGGGCTCATTATGATGTTGAGCCGTTAAGGTGGGCCAGGCTGGCCCATTTGATTAGTAAGTAAATTAGACCAAGTGGGCCCAAAAATGGAATTGGATCCCCTTGCCCTTAATAAGTGCCGTTTTAGGTGGACTTGCCTTACTAATGAAGGTTGGGACCTCAACTTAATGATGATTAAGGAGTATAATAATCTCTAAAGAAAGAGGGTTAGACAGGATGATAGGGTAAAGCAGGGCAGAGAAAATAAAAGTTGGATTGTGGCAATGTCATAACAAGATCACACTTTGTCGCTTGAGAATTTGGTTTTAATTTATTTGATCTAAATAAGTATACTTGTATAGATTATCATAATAAGGTGACATATGATTTGATAAAAAATTAGATGCATAATGGATTACAACTAAACTAAGTGACATCGCGATGTGATATGAGTATGTACATGATCCAAATTGAACATGATCCAAACAACTTGTTAGTTACCTCTCACCTCCAATACTATTACCCTTACAAACATTATGCCATTTCATGAAATAGTAGTTAAAATGGGAGTTGCATCATTTGTGCAGCTGCAAGAAGGTATCAAGCAACCGGATGGCTAAGGGAAATGGACCAAGTAGCAAGGGACACCCTCTCAAAGAACCCTTCCGAACAAGACTTTTGTATGGCCCTCCGCAATGGTCTCATCCTTTGTAATGTCCTTAACAAAGTTAATCCTGGTGCTGTCCTCAAGGTACACTGCCATTTACGGAGTAGTATTTCTTTTTTACTTAATTACGGAGTACATTGTTATGTAGAGTTTTTATGACTGTTTTTGTATTTTGTTTACAAGGTTGTGGATAATCCAGTAGTGGCAGTGCAGTCCCCGGAAGGAGCAGCACAGTCAGCCATTCAGTACTTTGAAAACATGAGGAATTTCTTGGTAGCTGTTGGCAATATGAAGCTATTGACGTTTGAAGCCTCTGACTTGGAAAAGGTTTCTTTCTTTTCTTTGACAGGCTAACCTCAATCTAACTCATCCTTTCGGATGATGGAGGAGTCCAGGAGGGCTAATCACCTAAGTAGCTTGAATATCATCTTATTGTGTCATTTGACTCTCTTCCTACTGCCTTCATTTTGAGATAAGAATTTATTAACAAGAACCAACAAAGAATTCAAAAGTACATACAAAGTGCAAAGAAGTTTAATATTAGGAATGTGGTTCATGAACGTTGTGTACTTACAACAGTGTGTCTGTGTTAGAAATTTATAGCTGTATCATATCTAGCAATTGGTTATGTATCCGAATATACATATCTCCTGAGGTTTTGGCGGGAATGCTGTGTCTTTAACTGAATTGATTCTTATGTACAGGGAGGTTCTACAAGTAAAGTTGTGGACTGCATTCTTTGCCTAAAAGGCTATTATGAGTGGAAACAAGCTGGTGGAATTGGAGTGTGGAGGTATGGTGGAACTGTGAGGATCACTTCCTTCTCAAAAGACTGCTCCTCCTCTTCAGTTGGCAGTGAAAGTGCTGATGATTCATTGTCGTCGTTTGATGAATATGAATCATTACAATACGAGCAGCTGTCAGAATTTCTTCGTCTTTATAACAAGGTGTCAAACAACGAAACAGAAATAGCAAAAGCATTGTGTATTCTCTTTGATCGCTATGGACTTGGGATATTGCAAGCTTATGTCAGTGAGAAGAATGGAATAGAGGATTTACCTTTGAATTCAATGGTAGGTAAGATTTCTTCTGTTTTAGTTAGGTTTCCCTTAGTGTGTACCATGAAATGATTTTTTTTTTTTAAAACCAAATTTTATCAAATGACACAAATTGTCAAGTGTTAAATAAATGACACAAATAGAAGTTAGTAACAGACTTTTGCTAATTAAGTGACTTGAAGTCTATAAAAAGTGATGGCAAGAGGATTAGTACTGTTGGTCAGACAATTATTCTTTGTGCAAGTGTAATCTATCTGTGATGCAATACAAACTCTTAATTTTATTTTCACTATACATCAACTCGTTGGTGAATTAATGTGCAGGTAATAGATACTGTGATTCATAAGGTTGTCAAGGATTTTTCTTCAGTGATTGTGACTCAAGGTCTTCAGGTAGAGTTTCGGAATTTTAATGCAGCTATTTTGGTACATATAAATGTATAATAGGAATAAGCTTCTTAAGGTTTGCATGATAAAAAATGTTGTAGCTTGGGCATATGTTGAAAAAAAAGTTGAAGAGTGAGACTACATCTTTTACACATGAAGAGTTCTTGGAAGCAATTTCACGGTATCTTGGCAACAAGAAGACTGTTATGAAGTCTAATGATGCAGCGGAATGTTGCATTTGTGGGAGAAGAAAAGAAATCAGTGATTCTACGAGCTACAAGGAAGTAGTAGATGAGCAACATAAGCAACTTGTGGTACTCAATTTTAAACATATCCATCTCTTTCTTGGAATTTCATGTCTTCACATTCAGTGATTTAGTTCTCTTTAAATGATCAAATCCTAAGTTGATTCATGGAAAACTTAACTGATTATCCTTTTTATCAATCTTCAGGAACTCAAGTCATCTTTTAAAGAAACAAAAGATGAAGTGAATAGGGCTCAATTACAATGGGATGCAGAAATTAAAAAACTAGGTGAGATATATGTGTGTGCATTTGATTAAAAACTATTGTGCAATACTACATTGTACCCCTTTTTCTTTTAACTACTTACCACCCTAATTCAATAATTTAATTGGCTCAGAGAATCACGTGAGGAGTCTTGAGGTCGCGTCATCTTCTTACTATAAGATTCTAGAAGAAAACCGTCAGCTTTACAATCAAGTGCAAGACTTGAAAGGTAATCTTACTTTGTATAATCTCTGAAATCCATCTATTTGAAATTGGGATTAAGTAAATTGAGAAACTAAAATTGTGACAAACTGTTGTTTTATATCATAGGATCAATTAGAGTTTACTGTCGAGTAAGACCATTCTTACAAGGCCAATCTGATGGGGTATCAACTGTTGATCATATTGGAGAAAATGGAAATATAATGATTGTCCATCCTCACAAACAAGGGAGGGATGCAAGAAAGGTCTTCTCGTTTAACAAAGTATTTGGAACAAATGCAACCCAACGTAAGTTTTTCCATTTCTGCATGTAATTCTACACACTAGGCACTTTGTGGCCTTACCAATTGGTTTGACATATTTTCATATGTCTTGAATGCAGAGCAAATATATGCAGATACCCAATCATTAATTAGATCAGTTTTAGATGGTTTCAATGTTTGTATCTTTGCTTATGGACAAACTGGCTCCGGGAAGACATACACTATGGTATTAGTTAATTTGTATTTTATCCTCACTTGCATTTAAGATATTTTGAATGATGGATTTCATTTTATATATTTTTTATGCTTGGATTTTGCCTCAGTTTCTTAGAAATCTTCCTTATTGAAACTGCATTTTTGTTTTTGTCTAGAGTGGCCCTGATTTAACAGCAGAAGATTCTTGGGGTGTCAACTACCGAGCATTGCAAGACCTATTTCAAATTTCGAAATCTAGAGTTGACTTAATTGAATATGATATTGGAGTCCAGATGATTGAAATATACAATGAACAAGTCAGAGACCTCTTAGTTGTTGATGGCACTTCTAGAAGATATCCTTCAATAGCTCAGCTAATAATTTTATTTTATTTTATTTTTTTTTTTTTTTTTTTTTTTTTTTTTTTTTTGTATAAAACATTTTAAGTTACACTCAGGAAAATTTATAATGTGACTCCTTAATTATATTCACGTTAGATATTCGAAACAATTCTCAGCTCAATGGTCTCAATGTACCTGATGCATGTTTAGTCCAAGTTAATTGCACCCAAGATGTCCTTGACTTGATGCGGGTTGGCCTAAAGAATCGTGCTGTGGGTGCAACTGCTCTGAATGAAAGGAGTAGCCGATCTCACAGGTACACTCTTCATTAAAATGATAGCTTGCATGGTTTCATTCTGTCTTGCTCTGAAACAATTATGGTATTGCAGTATTTTAACTATCCATGTCCAAGGAAAAGAGTTGATCTCTGGGTCCATTTTGAGGGGATGTCTTCATCTGGTGGATTTAGCGGGCAGTGAGAGAGTCGACAAATCTGAGGCTATTGGAGAAAGGCTGAAGGAAGCCCAACATATAAATAAATCACTTTCTGCACTTGGGGATGTCATCTCTGCTCTTGCTCAGAAGAGTGCTCATATTCCCTACAGGAATAGCAAGCTTACTCAAGTCTTGCAAGACTCTCTAGGTAACCACCTTAAAAGATTCTATGGTCAAAACTTTAACTATATATTTTTTATTATATTGCATGATTTGTATCCCCATTACTCAAATTTTTGTTGCAGAGCCATGGTGGCTGTTTTTTCTTTTTTTTTTCGTACTAATTATAAGTGTTCTTCACTGGTAGGAGGTTAATCAGTCTTTGATCGCTAACTTATGAATTACTTATCTTGTAGGAGGCCATGCTAAAACTTTGATGTTTGTGCATATTAATCCTGAATCTAATGCTATCGGAGAGACAATAAGTACCCTTAAGTTTGCAGAGAGGGTTGCCTCTATAGAACTTGGAGCTGCTCGAGCTAACAAAGAAACTACTGAACTTCGGGACCTCAAAGTTGAGGTTGGTTTTATGGTTTTTTTTTTTTTTTTTTTTTTTTTTTCAAGCCTTAAACATTGGGACTGAAATCAATATTAAATTTCTCAAGCGCCCTGCAAATTAAATTTCTTCTTCTTTTACTGCAGATCGCTAATCTGAAATCAACATTAGAGAAGAAAGAAACAGAACTGGAAAATCTGAAGTGTGCCAATGTAAGAAGTAATTCTGAAACTCAAAATGCAAGAGCCATTTCACCAATGCATGTGCCAAGGCTTGTGCGACCAGTTGATGACAAAGCCTTTGAGGTAGGATTGAATTAGTTAATAACCTCACTTCAATTAGAAGAATCACATAAAGCATATTATATGGCTTAATACATATAAGATGTTTATAATCTTTATATATACTCACTAGCCACAAGGCCACAATATTATTTACTTAGGTCTGAAAAAGCGGCAGAATAGTGAAGCTGTACTAATCAGAAGGTGTCTTCTATTCAACACTTCTGTCCACAAATATATTTTTTTAACAATGAAAGTTATGTATTCAGGTCAGAAGCTGTTCTTCAGGGAAGCAGAGGAGGTCGCATTTTCCCTCTGGGTTAAAGGAACATGAGACCATGCCAAAGATGCCTTTCATAGCTGAAGAAAAGCTTATAAAGCCTGGAAATCCAAGGTCTCCGTCTCCTCCTGTGAGGAGATCAATGTCTACTGACCGAGGGGCTCTCATTAGGAGTAGGCTTAAGCCTGAAATGACAGAAAAATCTTTCCCGAAGCTTCAATACCCAGCTAGAGTATCAGTGAATAAACCTCTTGGTCCACCATCAGCAAATCCATTAGTTGACCGGCATGATGGCAGCATCACAAGAGGCAACTTATTAGATCAGGAGAATGAACAACTTAAGCCTGTAAATACAAGGCAATTGTTGTCAGTGAGGAAAAGCAAGCATGATATCAGCAAAATTAAGGCCAAGAACCAACCAGCGCCTAGGATTCCAAAGGTTGATGAGCCTGACATTCATGCAGGAGGAAAGATTGAGGAGGCTAGAGAGAGTGACATTTTCGAGCCTGAAAATGAAAAGGGGTTATTTGCTTCTCCCGTCTACAGCAGCAATTCTCGGTTGAGGAAATTACGGGCCAACTCTACTAAGAGTTCTCAGTGTCTCGAACCAAGGTATGGCTTCTCAAATCCAACATAAATTGTATTTAAACTGTAAAAGCAAGGTTTTACCACACTTCACTACCTCCCTTAAGGCATAGATTCTCCAATTCAAAACAGGAATATATTATGATGGGTGGGTGCTCAAAAGTGTTATAACTGGACATCAGAATGCCTGTAATCTATGTTACTTGGATTCAGGTAATCTTGTCCTACAGTGGCACATGCAACTCGACTATTAAGTTATTAATTATCTGCATTCTTCCATGCAGAGGACAAGCAAATGCAGTAGATTCCGGACAATTTGAAACCAAACTTCTAAAAGAAAGCAACAATCCATCTATATCTGGATTGAGGAGAAGTCAGTCTATACCGCGTGGAAAGTTTACAGTTTTGCCTTAAAAGACTTTACTAAACTGATTTTGACATATTTTTTTTTTTAAAAAAATTTCCCCTATGTACAGTGATCTGAGTTCAGTAGAAGCATGCCCAGGTATTTGTAGTGGCTGTTTGTTGATGTCTTTGGTTGAGCTTTCAGAAATTTGAGTTTGACAAGCAATCATGCTTGTATTTTTTTTTTTTAATTACTTTCTTTATACCAATATTTAAAATTTTGTGAGCTATCCATGTTTTCTCTTCAAGTCCTGCTTCAATAATCAATATAATGGAATATTTTTCATGCTATTCTATACTATTGTATAATTCACAAGGTATTCTTACATATCTAAGTTTGTACATCATACATACAATAATTAAAGTTTCAAAAGTCATCATCTTATTAAACATACTTGATCAGTATATCATTCCATACTTATCTAGTGGAAAATGCAAGAACAAAAACAACATTGCATTCAACCTTGCAATGTTGCTATGTCATGACAAAGACTTACAAGGTCTCCATTGGTTGACGGCGGAGCTGAGTTTCTCCGGCACAGAATGAGACCACAAATCTAAGTCCGGTAACGGCCCTGTAAATGCCAAATAATTCCCACTCTCATTATCAGGCATCTTTTTCCAATTCACAAACTCCTCACCAAATGCTTGACACAATGCCTTAATTGTCAAGTTCACTTGCCACTCTTTTCCACCATTCAAAACCTCTTTCGCCCCGCCACAGTTCACCATGATCCTCCCTTCCGGCATGAGTTTATCCATCATGTCTAGCCAGGTTTGTGCAACTTCCAACTCCGGAAGAACGTCAGCATTAGCAAACAAGTCCACAATGATCCCTGCATAACCACCAGCTACATTTGCTGTAGGAGACAACGCGTCTCCTACACAAACTCGAAGAAAGCCTCCATTATTATTATTATCTGTTGTCATTTCCAATTCAGACATCCCAAAATACATTCTTGCTCGATCAATTAGAATACCATCTAACTCCCACCCATCAATAACCAAATAAGGCCAAAAATGGAGCAATTGATGAACAACTGTACCACCTCCTAATCCAAAGATGGCAATTGGACCACCTTTAGGAATGATTGCAGGTAAACTGGTAAATTCATCCCAATAAGAGTTGGTCCATTTTTGGGTTTTATACAGTATGCTATGCACATTTCCGCTATCATCTAATAGTAATACTTTGGAGTTATCGGATTCTAAGATTACAATGTTGTTGTATTCGCTTCGAGTAGCTGTTAAAACTCGATACTGTTCTTCTTCTTGTTGTTCTGCAACTGATGAGTTGGAAGAAGAGCTTGAAGAGTAATGATGGGGTCTGCTTGTTTTAGTGATGAGCGGTGGTTGTTTTGCAGGGGGTGTGAAGGAAAGAGGATTGCCGCCATTAAAGGGATGAGCTTGAGCTTGATTTTGTAAGGACGGAGGAGATAAAGATATGGGGTTGAGAAAGAGTAAGGTGGGTGAAAGAGAGAGCATTGCTTTATCTTTTGTTTTCTTTTTAAAAAACTGATGGGTGGAATTTGCAGAGGAAACAGGCCATAGGTTGTTAAACTTTACTAACTAATTAAAGTAATTATTTTCTTTTTTTTGGTGTTTAGAGAGCCACAAGGGCGGGGGTGAGAATCGATGGTAGGATCTTTTGGAATCGGGAGGAAAGCTCTAACCACTTGAGCTATCCATCACTCTCAAAGTAATTATTTTCTTAATTGTGATGAAAATACTTAAAGCTAGACATGTCAAAACCTCACCCAACCTAACCTAATCTTTACCAACCCAATTTAAATTTCGACTCGTATAAATACAATAATTTAACAACCCAAGTTAAAAATATACACCTGATTTTATTGAACCCAACCCAATTCACCCAAACCCCCAAATTGAGAGTTTGACCTTTACAACAAAACCAATTCATAATCATAAGCGCGAACATGAAATTTTTAGGGGTTTCCAATTGTCTGCGATTGAAAACGCAAACATGTCAACAATGCCTGCAACAAATTTGATAAACAAGCTTTCACTAAATCTTCACCCTCGCTTTGTTTCTCTTCCATGGTACTTTCTCTTTCTCTTCGATAAATTATTTGTTCTTCTGTTTAAATTTAGTAATTGTTTCTCCATTTCTAAGTTCATAGCTTTCGTAACAAGAACCAAGACATGTAGTTGGATTTTCGTCTGTTTTTATACTATTTGGGAATAAAGCTTTCACATTTTAAATAGAATTTCAGCTCAATAATTGTGGGTTTTTATTTTTGTTTGGTTTCAATTGGGAAACTAAGCTCAAAATTAATTGCCTGTGCAAAGATAGTTCCTGTTCTAGTTGAAGTATTAGACAGCATCAATTGAAAGTGTTTGGCATTTTAATTTTTGTTTTATGGGTGTTTTTGCTGTAAATTTGATAGGCTTAAAAGGAGTGTTATTAGATGCTTTTCACACAAGGCAGATGGCCCAGAATTACCAGTTAGATACATTCCTAAGAAACACCGAGTTGTGGAACAAGCAGGATGCTCTTCTTCAGTGGACAATGCTCCCATACACAGGATATATACCGAGTCTAGTTCGAGTAATGGTATACGTAGACATAGAGTCAATCATCCTCGAGAAAGTAGAATTGATCATGAGCCGTCGAATGTATCATTTGTTGAATCACATGGTAATCATGTCACAACCATACTTTTTTTTTTGTTAATAGGATTTTATTTAATGATGTAATGGCTTTGCTCCCCACGCATGGGATTAAGGCTTTGATTGATTGGTATAATTGCTTTGCTGATTTCATGCCTTTTGAACTCTATGTAGTTCCAGGGTTGAATGAATTCAACAAACCTGATAAAATAGCTGCGGGGAGTTTAGAAACGGAGTCTGTAAAAACCTTTGCTGTTGAGTATATGAATGTGCCTGATGAAGTTGTTCAGGAATTACGAATTTTTAAGAGAGATGTTCGAGGTCAAGGGTGCAAATTAAATCAAGAGAACTACAACTATAATGGAGCAATGGACTCTGAATATTTGGAAGGATTTGAAGAAGATATTGAGGAACCAATCGAAGGCCTTGAAGCAGAACATAATGATGGGATTGATGAAAGCAAACAGAAAAGGTCAAAAATCTGTAGGACTAAGCAAGACGTTGAGAAAAAGGCTGTTGAATTACTAGCAAAAAGGTCTTTGGTGTTTTCTAAAACCATTACACTCAAAATAAATATTGGTTGAAACCAAGATGTCAATAATGCTCAATGCATTTGTTGATGCTAATTGTGTTTATATTGTTTTTAGAGCATATACTGGAGTTGAGCTACGGAAGAAACTTGTTGCAAAGGATTTTCATGTTGATGTTGTTGAGGCAGTAGTAAGTGATTTCCAGAATAGGTAGGCTTACCTTCTTTTCTGTTGTCTATGGAATGTTTTCTTGCTTTTTTGGAGAGAAATACTCCATTACTATGTTTTTCAACTGACATATTGTAGAGTTTGCAACGCATTATGTAGCACACTTATCAGTTATTGTCTTATTGGTTACTTTTCATTCATTCATGCTTATCTTTATACTTGTATTTTTATTTTAAATGGGGTTCAAATTTTGTTACAGAGGGCTGATTAATGATAGCCTGTATGCGGAAATTTTTTCCAATTCTAGATGGAAGTCTTCAAGTTGGGGCCCAAGGAGAATCAAGCAAGTAAGCTTCTTTCTTGAAGACTAGTGTCTTTATTTTAAATATTTATCAGAATTAGATGTTTAAGGTATCCTTTAATCTGTTAATGGAAGTTCACTATTTGTAATTCTTTTTTTTTTCCTTGTTGTGTACTGTGTTCTCTCTTTTTTTTTTTTTTTTTTTTTTTTTTTTTCCTTTTTCCCTTTTTTTTAATCTGTTTTTTTGGGTTGGGGGTGAGCGGGTGCTGAGGGTTGTATAGGATAGTACCGGGGCTGGGAGTGGGAATGCTCTGAGATATTGCATGTTTTATTGTTTCACCTATGCACTGCAGCATTTGTTACCCAATTAGGATTTCAAACTTAAGGATCTTTTAATTGAGTGCATAAATGTATAGCCTTAAGTATTAGTTTGACTTCAGACAATCAGTGAGTGAATAAGTTGGCCTTTGACAACTATGACATGTTGCATGGAATGTTTACGTAATGCATGTTTGGATTTAGGGATTTTTTTAAAGTTCTGTTTAACTTTCAGGATATCTGATATCATAACCATCAGTGGTGTAACTAGTATATTGAGAATTGGGAAGCCTCAATGTCTCAGCTTTTTGTGAACATGTGCTATCATAAAGGTTTTGCTGGAGTCAAGTTGCAGAACATGTACGCAAGATATTTGGGCTATCCTTATGATACTTGATTAGGTTATTCAGAATCAGAGTATAATTTACTGTTTAGAGAACTATCTGGCTCTAGTTATGGACTTATGGTGAAAATCTGATAGTTGGAGAGTCTAGACTCTAGAGTTCAGCAGCATCATAGGAGAAAGTTTTTGTGTTTTTATTTAATAATTAAACTAATATTAAGGAAAGGGAATAAGTTTACTATAGGGGAGTTTGTCATTGACTGCTGTAAAAAATGCGTTGAAGTTCCAAGTGAGCTGTGTCTAACAAGGGTCATGAAAAAGAGAACTGAAAAAAATGCTGATTTGGTCTGTGCTTGAGAGCAAGATTTTGAAGTTATAATTATTTCCATTAAAGTCAGTTTGCTAAGGCTTTTGCTAATAGTTGCATTTTAGTAAGGGAGTTGCTGTTGTGGCTTTTGTTGATGGTGTGAATCTGATACCATCTGAAGAGGGGGAGAGAGGGGGGGGGGTGTCGGAGAGACAGGAGAACTTTTTATATATTGTTCAGCTTTTCATTGGCTATATTATGCAACATTTTGAGTGAAGCAATGCTGTTTGTTAAAATCAGGCACTTGTGAAGAAGGGCGTCAGTGAAGGTGATGTAAAAAAGGCAGTAAAACAGGTTTTTGAGGATGGTGAGGAATGTGATCTTAGGTCGAGTACAAAGTTATCAAACTCTACATTACAGCAACTATATGTGCGGGCCTCCAAGCAATGGCAACTGTCCCAGAATGTACCCTATGAGAAACGAAAGGCAAGGATTATAAGGTGGCTTCAATATCGTGGGTTTGATTGGGCTGTTGTTAGCATCATCTTGAAAAAACTAGAATCCAATTATTCTCCTTAGAACCTACCATTGTTGCTCTCTTTTTCCTAGATGCCCTCAGCAAAAGTTAGCCATTTTTATTTGCCTCCTATAGACATGAATACTTCATGTAAAAATGTATTGAAATTATATTGCTTATCTAATACATTCACATTCACTTCACTATGAAATCTTCTGTCGGTAACATGATGGAATCTATTGTGTCAGTATCTTTTCTCATGAATCAGTAAACTACTATGCTATGAAACTAGTCGCTTCAATTGAGCCTTTGGGTTGCAACTAGTATAGATATTAATGTTATAGCGCAAATTAGTAACAGCGCTGCCAGTGGGCTGTTTCTGGCCTGGCTGTTGCCTGGTGGATATGGATCAAGCTCCCAGCACAGCAGCCTGGTCTGACTGCTTTGTGGACCAACCTTGATTCCTCCCTGCCACAAACCTGACCCAATCCACATGCTCGTGCACTAGCACTAGAAAAAACAACTTACCGGGGTTTTGGGGGGTGGGGGGGGAGGGGTGACCTCTAAAAGGCTAGTTCTGTTGAGAGATAGTCATACGCTTTAATAACCTTTTAGTTGTGAGATAATACGGGTTGAATTTAACAAAATGAAACAGTGCATTGGATTTATTAATTAAAAATGTACCAACGTGGAAGAGGAACTTACGTTAATGTTATGTGGTTTGCCTTAGATTTGGGATGTTAAGTGGTCAAGTTGGTTTCAGCTTTGGATAGGCGACGTATAGAGTCACTATTTTGCTACTAGTATGATCCTTAACCTCTCTTATTCATCACTTCTTTTTCTGTTGGACTTATTTGAGATGGAATAATGGAGTTAGAATTATTGAAATCGTCCATAAGCTTGGTTAGCAAAAGCATAACATCTCAGTCCCATTGCTCCCTTTTGCTTATCCTTTCCTCATTTTGCATACCACATAATATCTAAACAATGTGAGATTCTTTTATTACGGAAATGCAAAGAAGATTATTACTCCCTTGATCCAGAATTAATTCTGAGTTCTCTCTTATATTTTCAAAACTCTATTAATTTATGTCATGGGGGAAAGGGATAGATTTTATTTATAGTAAAGGTGCCTAAGCAAATTAAAATCTTGAATCTCCAAAGTTTCCATTTGTAGATGACCTTCCACATGAGGTGGGGTGGCGGTTAGGAATGTGTTTTTGGGTCCTATTACCTCCGCACTCTTTGGCATTACCCTGCTATCTACTCCATGTTTGGATGGGGTTGGAAAATCTTGACTTTTGGGTGAGGGGGGAGTCTTGTGCTGTTAAAGCTTTCAAAGCTCTGTATGTTTAGCTGTATTTTATTTTTGGAGGGATGATAGATGTGTATGTGATAAATCTATAGAAAAATGTGTACATCCGATATTGGACATGTAGGTGTATCGAGGAGAGTCCATGGAAAATACGGAGGCATTTTGTAATATTGTAGGGTGATTTAACTTATTACCGTATCAAATATTTCGTACGTGTTTATACTTGTATAATTGATGCCTGAAATGTAGTTGCTATTGAAAGCCATGAAAAATATTGATGATGCTTTCCTTTGTGACTTCGTCCATCTAAGTGTTAATATCACTCAACAATGGTGTTCTTGCTCGTTCAAATGATTTAGTCATATTAGTTGTATCTGAATTAATTGGATTGTGCTTTGCTCATGATTTGATACTCGCATTTCCTTCAATTACATGCTTAGGCATGTGATCTAGCCTCTTCTAGGCAAAACTAGGTTATGTGCGTAATTAGCCTTGCTAATCAAGATTAGCATTAACCTTAATAAGAGGAAGGACCCTTGAAACTCACATGAACGAGAAGAAAGTTAGGAGCCTTGAGATGGGACCACGTGACCCCTACATGAGGGAAGAATATCAAAGGAATCTCATTCTCTTTTGCATTAAATTCTAATTAACAACAATCCAAACTCACCAATCATTGAACCTATCCCTCCATAATTTAACTTTGATATTCTATCATGGCTAATTTCTTGGTTTATACATCACTAGAAATTTAAGCCATTTCCTTCTCTTAAGGTGACATTCCTACATAGCATAAGACATTGTTAAGACATCGGAAACAATTTAATCTTGCCGAGCAGTTTAATACTACTCGTACGTCACAAACTTATGGTACAAATTACTGCTAATTATTAGTATAATCTACAAACACCTAATAATAGTATTGTGTAAGATATCACATTCTTAGCCTTAAGGAGAACTCTGTCTTTGCCCTTCTATCTGCTCTATTTAATTCTTCAGCTGGGAAATGTACAGAACAATGGCTTCATCTTTGGATTAGAACCTTGGTTAACACAAAGAATCGTCAGAGAAAGCAAATGAGTTGTTAGAAGACCCTTGGCTGACCACATTTCGTTTAGGAGAAGGTGTTGGTAGAGCTTGCACAGCCCCTTTGGCTAAATCAGGCTCTGGCCTAGCATTATCAACATGTCGAATCTCCCTTAGCATTGCTACAACATCCTTCATTGAAGGACGATCATCAACTCGAGTACTGACACATAAAAACGAAACAGCCAAAGTCTGTACCACCTCATGCATCTGAGGATCAGCTCTTCCTCTGAGTTTGGCATCAAGAATGTCGGCTGGATCACCTTTCTTTTGCAGGTGATCTCGGACCCATTGAACTAAATTGGCTCCCCCTGGCAATGTTGGGTCCAGTGGATGTTTTCCTGTTAAAACCTCAAGTAAAACCACCCCAAAACTGTAGACATCACTTTTCTCAGTCACTTGATGCACTGATGCAAGTTCTGTAATAAAAGAATAAAAATAAGTTTCAGAATCAGTAAATTCCCATAATAAAGATCATAAATGAAAATATCTAAATGAATGTAAAACATACCAGGTGCCATATAACCATAGGAACCAGCAAGGTGTGTTCTTTGATTGTTCTTGGAACATCCGTTGCTTGAATAATCAATAAGTGTGGCTAGCCCAAAATCAGCAAGGTAAGGCTCAAATCTAGGACCCAACAACGCATTCATGGCTTTGACATCCCCATGTAAGATTGCTGGCACACAGTCATGATGCAAATAAGCAAGTGCATGAGCCACCCCAAGAACAATGTCATATCGTGCCTCCCATTCTGCTCCTCCACCCTTCACTACACCGTGAAGGAGAGAGCTTAAGCTCCCGTTTGGGAGGTAATCATAGAACAGGAACTTCAAGTTCCTGTTAGATCCCCACCCTAAAAGCCGGACTATGTTCTTGTGGCGTATAGAGCCCAAGGTCTGAATTTCCGACTTGAATGCCCCTATTTCATCTGTAGACCACATCTTTTTAACTGCGAGTGTCTCCCCATTAGGCATAGCTACCTTGTACACAACTCCAGAACTTCCTGTTCCTATTACATTAGCTGAAGTCAAGTTGTTGATGACATCTTCGATTGAGAACTCCATCTTTTGGTAGAGAGTCAATTCCCAAGTGTCATCTTCAAGAGAATTTTGATCAGCTAACCTAGCACGGACTTGCATATAGATTCCTAGTAAAATCAGAACCACACTTATACTAACAAGGATTGGCAAGGCTAACTTCATTGTGTAACGAGCTTGCTGGTCATGTTTATCAGCTTTGTTTTCTATTCCGTCAGATATGTAAAGGGCCTTGTTCCCAGCAACATTGCTGAGAGGGAGTTTGTGAAAGAAAGGGGTGTCGGGTAATTGCCCAGAGAAATCGTTGTTGGAGATATTTAAGGAAACAAGGTTTTGTAGACTTGCTAGGATATCCAATTTGCCAGTGATCTTGTTGTGAGAAAGGTCAAGAACTGCTAGTTTAGTTAGGCCAGAGAATTGGGTTGGAATTTGTCCTGAAAATTGGTTATAGCTAAGGTTTAAAGAGATCTCCAATGCTGGGAGTTGACCCAGTTCATTTGGTATTTCCCCTGAAAACCCATTATTTCCAAGGTCCAACAATTGTAATTTGTTGCAGGATAAAATTTCAGCAGGAATTCGACCAGAGATTTGGTTGTTACCAAGATTAAGCTTAGTCAACTCATTCATAGAGCCAATAGAAGGTGGTAGTGTACCTGTGAGCCTGTTGTCTGATATGTCTACAAACTGTAGACTTGTTGGCAATGTTTCTGGCAAGGAGCCTGTGAGCCCATTCGAGTGCACGTCAAAGAATTCCAGGCTTGAGCAGCCTGACAAAGAAGGTGGTATACTTCCAGTGAAGTGATTCTTGCTTAAATCGAGGAAATTTAAGCTCTTCAATTCCCCAATTTCGGATGGAACAGTACCACCCAGTTTATTACCATTTACCCGGAACCTGTACAAATTTGTACAGTTCCCTATATCAGGTGGTATGAATCCTGACAATTCATTTGAAAGTAGAAGCAACTTGGTGAGATTTCTTAGCCCGAAGATCTCTCTGGGTATTGGACCAATCAGACTATTGTAAGAAAGATCAAGTGCTTGCAGCTCTTCGCACTGAGCCAGGCTTGTGGGTATTTTCCCCGTGAGCTTATTCTGCCAGGCGAAGAACAGAGTCAAGCTCTTCAAGTCGCCAATACTTTCCGGTATGCCACCTGAGAGTGCATTGTTGTCGACTTCTAGGTGAGTGAGGCCAGTACAGCGAGTGAGCTCCGGAGGTATGGTTCCTGATAGCTGGTTCACACTCAGCTGAAGCTCTTGCAAACCCGAGAGGTTCCCGAAACTTCTCGGTATGCTTCCTGTGAGCAAATTCTCAGAGAAATCTATGACAGACAGATTTGAGCAGCTCCCAAGTTCATCAGGAATAGTACCCACAATACTGTTCTGCCATAGAAGCAGATTTTGAAGCTTTTTCAGCTCCCCTAATCTCTTTGGAATTGAACCTGATATTGAGTTTTGATACAAATACAGGTTCTGCAATTCAGTGCAGTTCCCAATCTCTTCTGGGATTGGGCCAGACAGTAGAGAAGTGTAAACTGCAATTGTCTGGACTTTCTTAAGGTTTCCTATCGATTTCGGTAGGCTACCAGAGATGCTGGTCTCAGCAATCCCAAGCATAACCAAGTTACTGCAGCTCCCAATCTCAGCTGGTAGTTCTCCCTTGAGATTCTGATTCCCACCTCCTCGAAACACTTCCAGCTTCTGCAGCTTCCCGATGCTTGGTGGGATTTCGCCGCTGAGCTGATTGTCGTAGATGGTAAGATAAACAAGGCTCGAGAGGTTGCCTATGTCTGAAGGAATGGGGCCTGTAAGCTGGTTGGTATGAACAGAAAGGGTCTGCAACCTCTGCAGCCTGCAGATTTCATCTGGGATTTCTCCTGTGATGGCGTTGTCACTGACATCAATCAGTGTCAAGGCCTCATAATCACCAAACTCCTTCGGAATTCCGCCTGTGAGATTTGTGGAAGACAATATAATTGTGTTGAGAGACTTGAGGGGTTGTAAAGTTGAGGGCAATGGACCTTGTAAATCCATTGACTGTAAGCTCAGCTGAACAACTTGTCCCTTGTCGTTGCAACGAATCCCAAACCAACGGCAAGGGCTCGAGTCGGACGGTATCCATGACTTGAGAGTGTCTGAGGAGGAGTTTAAGGTGTTCTTCCATGACAGAAGAGCTTGGCCTTGGTCATCAATAGAATGACAAGAATGGAATAAAAGGAAGAAGTTGAGAGAAAGAAGAAAGAATGTGCAGGAGAAAATACAAGTATTATTACTAGAAGAAAGTGAGAAGAGATTGCTTAGTTTAGCAGGCATTGCTGGTGAGAGAGCATAGAGAGAAACAGGGGAGATTGAACTTTGGGATTATACAAATGGGAATTGGGAATGGGGGGAAACCCCATGTTTTGTTTATAGAACAAAAACCCACAAACTCCAGATTACTTGCACTTCAATTTTTTATATTATTATTGTTTTTCTTCTTTTGTTGTATGTCTCTTCTTGCTAACTAAGGATGCTGATTTTTATTTTTGTAAAGGGGTCCACCCTTTAATAAACATATTGTAGTCATATTATCTCTTTCTTCCCCCACCTTAATTTTGTTTTTATCAATTTTAATAAAACAGTGCCTTTTTTGGAATTTGGTTTCTAAATGTAATTATCAACTGTTTTATGGCCATAAATTACCACAGGAGTTTTAATAACGGTTGTACCATGTGGATTAACAACCCTCTCACGTCCGTATTAGATATTATTAGATCATACTTGATGTTTTGTGATCGGTGATAAAGTTTTGGTTGTACCACCTAGAATTTACAACGGTTGAAATGTTGTAATTGATATATATATACCCGAATTTGATACGAAAAATGTGAAGTGTGTTTAGTGATCTTCGAAAAGATATGGGTTTTGTCCCTTTAATTTGTTCTTCATTTATATTTTGGCAATTTTCTTTTATCTTGTTTCTTACTTCAGAAATGAATTTGCTGTGTTTTTCCTATCATCTATTTTATGTTCTGTCCTCTGTATCAAAAGCTATCATTGACAGTTAAGATATATGAAGGCTTTTACTTGTCTTTTGCTTCTCAGTTTGTTCATTTGGACCACTATCTCCTTAATAACATTTAATTAATCTCCATAATTATATACATTTCTATTTTTATTCCTAAAGTATTTATCCAATTTATGTTTATTTATAAATCCATAAGTATAGATAAACTAAATGAATGAAGTTGGCCCATCAAGTTTAGTGGTCACATTTAGGATGAGTTGGCCATGTGTTAGTTTGTTTGTTACTTGTAAGTACTCTCCCAATAACTTTCTAATGAATAAAAAGAACTTAATTTTTGACAATAATATGGAAGGAATTCTCTGCTACTAGGATAAAAATAAATAGTTTTTAACAAGATGTAGAAGTAAAAAGCTGCTAAGAACAGGTTAATTAGGTGTAAATTCACGTTCTTTTATTTATTTATTTTTTTTTAATCTCACAATCACTCACCCCATCTAATATACGGAGTACTTCGTAGTTAAATGTCCGTAAATAATTGCCACATTCAAAAAGTAAAAGTGTAATAGAGGCTCGTGATTGACTGTCTCTATGCTATAATCATGTTATATCCTTAACTAGGCTATAACAGGCGTATATGCTGCATATCGACGAAGGAAATTAGTTACTATAGATCCAAGATTTGTTATAAAATTAAATATAAAAGCTATAGATGTAGATGTTTACATTTTTATACATTGATGATGGTTAATATGTCATGGAATCTGCAAGAGAAGTGAACTGCACATGGAAGCAAAGAAGAGTAAGTAAGAAATTAAGTATTTTTTTTTTAGTTTTATGCATAATTATTCTTTATTAGTGTTGTTTTATTGCATGTAGTTGCAGATCTGGTCATACTGTCGGCCCTCCCTTTGTTGTGTAAAGGATTTTTAAAAAGAAAATTATAGGAAAATTATTTTAAAAGCTGCCTTCTGTTCTTAGAAAACTAGAAAGGAGGGACAAAAGTACATCAGGTAAGATTTTTCTTAATTATTCTGCTGATTTATTAACATAATAAGATCATATTGTTTTTATTTTAAATGAATTGGTTCAGTTTACTTTCCTCTATTTTGTGTTATATGAGAAGTAACATGTAAAATTACGCGCTTGTTTAATATTAAATTGTAAATATGTAATGTTTTTTAATGTATTGTCATAGGTAGAAGTCTTAAAAATTTCTAGTATTACATACAAAGTATGATTTAATTTGAATTAAACCGGTGAGGAATGAATATGATTTATCGAGCTTTATTTCTTCAGGAGGGCTTAACTTACTATGAGTTAAAAAAAATTAATTAGCTGTATAAACAAAGTACAGTAGTATATATACTCCTTTATATTCTTGTAAAAAATAGAAAAATCCAAGCTTACATTTATTTTTACTTCTTCACAATATAAATTTTGGATGGAAAGAAAATGATGTGTGAGAAGGAAAAGGGTAATGAATAATGTGTATTGGAAAGGAAAGTTGTAAACAGAGAAATGTCAGAGCAACTTCAAAGGTTAACACCTCTTCTTCAGCTTTGATTTTCAATGAGAAGAAAAGGCATACTATCTTTTTAGTGTAAGCAGAACATAAATTGTGATATGTTCTTAGTTTGTGCAATTAAACATTTAATTCTCCATACCTCTCATCATAAGAAGTCATGTGCTTTTGCAAAAAAGTTTGGAAATTATAGTTTCAAAAATTATTGGACATTTTCAAAGGCAATGAATTCTTTTGATGTTTGGATTTAGGGCTTTTAGAACTAAACTCATTGTATGATTGAACTCTAGTACTCTACTATGGAGTACATCTTATCATTTATTTTTAAAAGATCTTCATTATTGCATTTCATTTGATTTTTAATACACATCATTGACCATTATACTATATAAAATATTGATAATAACCGTAAAATCTTTTTATCTAGATAATTTACATTAAAACGAATTTTTTATATGACCTACTACGTGTATATAGTAATGCTTATTTAGAATTTGTTCTACCAATCACTAAACTTAAATTTTGAAAATAGTTTTGGATTGAACTTATTTCATATTCTTCCTTATACTTATGTAATTATTTATTGATTTTAATTTTGAGTGCAAACTCCTAGCATTTCCTTTTTTTTTTTTTTTTTTTCCTTTCAATTAAACAGTACGAGTAACAAAGTAGTTATGTTTACTGCTTGCATGTTTAACATTGATGATGGCGCGGGAATGTTGATATGTGCAAACAAAAGAAATGAACATTAACTTTTGTCCGAAACAAAATGCACTCACCTCAATACCATTCTTTTATTCAGATTTCTTGGGATCGCTTATGATGGAGCATTATCTTTATAAAATATTTATTGTTGATATTAAGGGTTTGTTTTCATTAACTGAACTCAACTGAACTGGACTGAACTGAACTGAGGGCTTGTTCTCTTACGTTAAAATTCAGTTCAGTTCAGCTCCTAATTTCCTTCTCTTATAAAATATTCATTTCAGTTCAGTTTAGTTCAGTTCAGTTTAGTTCAGTTCAGCTGAGTTCAGTCAATGAGAACAGGCCTTGAACTGAATTGAGCTGAGCTGAACTGAACTGAACTGAATATTTTATAAGAGAAGGAAATTAGGAGCTGAACTGAAATGAACTGAACTGAATTTCAACGTAAGAGAACGGGCCCTAAGGCTCTATTTCATTCAATTTATGTCATCTTAAATTCAAAGCAAATTTATTTGAATTAATACAAAGTTATTTAATATACTCCGTATGTGATAATGTGAGCTCTATGCGACTTTTATTATTTATTTACAAAAAAAAAGGTGATTATTATTTTTTGTGAAAGGGATACTACAATTTGCAACTCAAAATATAAAAATGAAAGAGATAGAGTATACTTCATTTAAATACTAAAGTCACATGAGCATGACAAACCCAACCCCTACAAATCTTGAGAGTAAAAATGAATTAGCAATAATGCATGCAACGCACCTCATCTTACCCTATACTAAAATCAGTAATCATTTATACTGTAATTAAGAATCTGATCTAAAATGAAATTGAAATGGATCTTGGACTAGTTAACATGTAATCACATGAGGGGATCATAGATTAGTCTTCTGTATTATATTATATATTATGATTATGATTATTTTTAAGCCAATCAAAGTCAAGGATCTAATACCAATTTGGCTACCTAGAGAAGTCATGGCTTCGGCACGTGATATTATACATACATTAAGGGTCCTATTATTAATTTTTTGAAACAACGTTATAATATTTTCCTAAAGAGAGATTAGAGCCAGCTGGATTTATTTATTTTAAGTTTTGAGGATTATGCAAAAAGCAAACAAACAAACAAAAATGCACATCTGCATACTAACCCATGTAATATCCACCATTATTGAACATTTGAAAAATTTTAAATTCTGTTTTGTTTTTAGAAGAAAAAAAAATTATCACTAAAATAAAATGTTGCGAAATTTTCATCAATTTTTGTTTTGACGATTGAAAGTAGGTATCATGAATTCATGACATACAGAGATGAATTGAAGCTTTATTATTCGTAATTTAAAAAAAAAAAGAAATTTTGACTTTTACCACCTTCAAATAATGACTTTATTGAATTACCACCTCCAAAAAAAAAAAAGATTTACTTTACCACCTCATAAAAAAATTAAACATCAGTTTTACCACCTATTCCTAACTTCAGTGACGGAAAACGCCTGTAGGGCCCACCATAACGACTAGTTTTTGAAATTATCCCCAAATTCTCTCAATTTCCCTTCTATCTAAACCTAACTTTTTCATTTCTACATTAAATTCGTGAAGTTTGAAGTTTTTTTTTGCGATTTTCTTCACAAATCCTTAATTTGGGTGATCCTTAACAATCCCACATCCTCAAATTATCAAATTATTAAAGATTGTACTCGACCCTGAATCAATTGAACTGTTCGACGACAAACAGCAAAAAGGTAAGCAAATTTCATGAATTTTGTTGTAATTTTTTGCAATTGTTTGCGTGATTATGTTGCAATTGCTGAGTATAATTGAAATTGCACGTTTTGTGTTATTAATTCAACCCCAATTTCATTATAAATAATTAGGGTTCATATAAGTGTAAATTAATTTGGGGGTTTTTGATATTTCACTTGGGCAGTAAAATTAGGATTAGATTATGGTAATTGTGTTCATATACAATTAATTTCAATGCTTTTGTTAATGAATTTCAAAGGGAATGTCTTCTTTTAGCATATCACCTTCAAAGGAGAAAAAATGCCAATGTGAAGTTCCAATGGCAAGACTTTTTACAGAGAGAAAGATGAAAAATCGATGGAGAGAGAAGATATCAAAGAGGCGAGAAGAAATTGAAGAGGAGGAAGGTGATAAATTGAATAGGGTAGGTGAGAAAAGGAGGAGAGAGAGGGAAATCGTGAGAAAGGGAGGTGAGAAAGGGCCCCACAGCCGTTTTCCGTCACCGGAGTCCTGATTAGGTGGTAAAACTGAATTTTATTTTTTTTATGAGGTGGTAAAGTAAATATTTTTTTTTTTGAGGTGGTAAATTCAATAAAGTCGTTATTTGAAGGTGGTAAAAATTAAAATTTCCAAAAAAAAATTGCCAATATGTTTATAGTCATAATGACATAACCTAGTACGACCTATGAAGTATAATTAATTTTCATATCTTTTCATGAGTATAAATATATGTGACTCAAATCAGTATCTAAAAGTAGAGCTGTCAATTCGGGTAAACGGGTCGGGTTTGGATTCGGTAAGAGTGGGTCGGGTCAACTTGGGTTGGGTCAATTCAGATTAATTCCATAACCTATGCGAATCAGGTATAGGTGGGGTCATGCTTAAGTCGGGTCACGTCGGGTCATACTTCATATTGGGTTTAGGTCGGGTTACATTCGGG